GGGAAAGGAGGGGGGCGCGGGGGGGACACGGTCAGGCAGGGGGGGCAGGGTCGGCTCGGCCGGTCGGAATTAGCAGAGGGGCGGGGCACAGGGGGAAGGGGAGGAGGGCACAGAAGGCCACGGACGGGCTGGGGTGGCGCACGTCGGTCGGTCGGAAAAGACGGCGGGGGGCCACGGTCGGCATGGGGGGTCGGTCGGTCGGAATGAGCAGAAGGGGGGGGAGGGCACGGTCGGGCAGAGGGGGGGGAGGGGCACGGGGGGCCACGGTCGGGCAGGGGGGGCACGGTCGGTCGGTCGGAATAAGCAGAAGGGGGAACAAGGAGGGAAGGGGGGGGCACGGGGGGACACGGTCAGGCAGGGGGGGGGGGCATGGTCGGTCGCTCTAAGCTGATGGGGAAGGGGCACACAGGGATGGGGGCGGGGCGGGGGGCCACGGTCGGACATCGGGGGAGAGGGCACGGTCGGTCGGTCGGAATATACATATAACGGCGCACCGGGTCCGGGGGCCCGGGGCCGGGACCCCGACCACAAATGTGCGCCCCGGGGGGCCCAGAGGCTCGTCGGGGCTTGCCGGAGGCCTCCCCGGTCAGACAAGACGGCCCCAGGAGCGCCCAAGACGGCCCAAGAAACTTCCAAGAGGCCTCCAAGAGGGCTCCGAGATGCTGAAGATGGCCTCCAGACGTCCAAGGACGCCCCCAAGAGGCCCCAAGAAGCCTCCAACATGCGTCCCAAGAGGGCCCCTAGACGCAAAAGTTGGCCCATTCCCTTCGTAAAACGTACATTTTCAACAAAGTCGCCTTTTGGGCTTTCCGACGTTACAGGACGGCCCAAGAGGCGCCCAAGACCGCCCCAAGACGGCCCAAGAAGCTTCCAAGAGGGCCCCAGGACAGCCCAAGAGGGCCCCAAGACGGCCCAAGAGGCGCCCAAGATGGCCCAAGAGGGCCCCAAGACGGGCCCAAGAGGGGGCCCAGAGGGGGACCACGAACCGCAAGCTCGAGCCTTCCGCCCCAAGAGGCCGCCAGGAGGCCCCCAGGAGGCCCCTCAAGAGGCCCCAGGAGACCCCAGACGTCCAAGGACGCCCCCAAGAGGCCCCAAGAAGCCTCCAACATGCGGCCCAAGAGGGCCCCTAGACGCAAAAGTTGGCCCATTCCCTTCGTAAAACGTACATTTTCAACAAAGTTGTCTTTTGGGCTTTCCGACGTTACAGGACGGCCCAAGAGGCGCCCAAGACCGCCCCAAAACGGCCCAAGAAGCTTCCAAGAGGGCCCCAGGACAGCCCAATAGGGCCCCAAGACGGCCCAAGAGGCGCCTAAGATGGCCCAAGAGGGCCCCAAGACGGGCCCAAGAGGGGCCCAGAGGGGGACCACGAACCGCAAGCTCGAGCCTTCCGCCCCAAGAGGCCGCCAGGAGGCCCCCAGGAGGCCCCTCAAGAGGCCCCAGGAGACCCCAGACGTCCAAGGACGCCCCCAAGACGCCCCAAGAAGCCTCCAACATGCGTCCCAAGAGGGCCCCTAGACGCAAAAGTTGGCCCATTCCCTTCGTAAAACGTACATGTTCAACAAAGTTGTCTTTTGGGCTTTCCGACGTTACAGGACGGCCCAAGAGGCGCCCAAGACCGCCCCAAGACGGCCCAAGAAGCTTCCAAGAGGGCCCCAGGACAGCCCAAGAGGGCCCCAAGACGGCCCAAGAGGCGCCCAAGATGGCCCAAGAGGGCCCCAAGACGGGCCCAAGAGGGGGCCCAGAGGGGGACCACGAACCGCAAGCTCGAGCCTTCCGCCCCAAGAGGCCGCCAGGAGGCCCCCAGGAGGCCCCTCAAGAGGCCCCAGGAGACCCCAGACGTCCAAGGACGCCCCCACGACGCTTCGCGTCACCAATTTCTTCTCACAACGATTCCTGGGTCTGTGACTCGACAGAACCTATACATATAACGCGCGCACCGGGTCCGGGGGACCCCGACCACAAATGTGGGCCCCGGGGGGCCCGGAGGCTCGTCGGACCGCCGGACGCCGTCCAAGATCGTTCGCAGGCGGCTTCGGAACGCGCTCCGATGGCTCCAGATGCCTTCCAAGACGCCTGTCATGACACCAAGAAGGTCCCAGAAGCCTCCAAGACGCTCCGTGAGGCAGCCCAAGAGAGGCCCAAGAAGCAAACATCGTGTCATTCCTATGGGAAAACGTATATTTTTCGCATGTTCGCCTCTTGGGCTTTCGCCGCGTCCAAGACGGCCCAAGAGGCGCCCAAGACGGTCTACGAGGCCTCCGGGAGCGCTCCAAGGCTGCGCACGAGTGGCCCAGGACGGCCCCAAGACGGCCCAAGAGAGCCCCAAGACGAGTTCGAGAGGGGTCCCAGACGGAGAAAGCCAACCTCGAATTCCGAGCTTCCGGCCCAAGAGGCTCCAGGAGGCGCCAAAATGCCGCCAAGAGGCGCCAAAAGGCTCCCAAAAGCACCCCAAGACGTTCCGAGAGGCACCCCAAGAGAGGTCCAAGAAACAAAAATCGTGCCATTCCTATGGGAAAACGTATATTTTTCGCATGTTCGCATCTTGGGCTTTCACCGCGTCCAAGACGGCCCAAGAGGCCCCAAGACGGTCTACGAGGCCTCCGGGAGCGCTCCAAGGCTGCGCACGAGTGGCTCAGGACGGCCCCAAGACGGCCCAAGAGAACCCCAAGACGACTTCGAGAGGGGTCCCAGAAGGAGAAAGTCACTCTCGAATTCCGAGCTTCTGGCCCAACACATCCCAGGAGGCGCCAAAAGGCCGCCCAGAGGCGCCAAAAGGCTTCCAAAATCAGCCCAAGACGTTCCGAGAGGCACCCCAAGAGAGTTCCAAGAAGCAAAAATGGTTTCATTTCTATGGGAAACGTATACTTTTCGCATGGTCGCCTGTTGGGTTTTCACCGCGTCCAACACGTCCGAAGAGGCTCCCAAGACGGCCTAGGTGGCCCCCAAGAGAATTCCAAGACGGTTCACGAGGCGCCCAGGACGGCAAAATTGAACTCCAAAATGGCCTAAGAGAGCCCCAAGGCGTGCCCGAGAGGGGTCCCAGAGGGAGAAAGCCACTGTAGAATTCCGAGCTTTCGGCCCCAAGAGGCTCCAGGAGGCGCCAAGAGAGCTCCAAGAAGCCCCCACGAGAGACCCAGGACGCCCCAAGAGGCTCCAAAGGCGGCCCAAGAGAGCCCCAAGATGGGCCCGAGAGGGGTTTTATTGGAGGATGAGGAGGAAGACGAGGAGGAGGAGGAGGAGGAGGAGGAGGAGGAGGAGGAGGAGGAGGAGGAGGAGGAGGAGGAGGAGGAGGAGGAGGAGGAGGAGGAGGAGGAGGAGGAGGAGGAGGAGGAGGAGGAGGATTCCTGGGTCTGTGACTCGACAGAACCTAAGCGCGCGCGACGCGCGCGCGTGGTTCTAGTAAGCATAGGGGGGGCCACGTGGAAGGAGGGGAGGCACGGGGTGCCACGGTCGGACAGGGGGGGGGGGGGGGGCACGGTTGGTCGGCTGGATTCTTTAGCAGAGGGCGGGGGCCACGGGGGGAAGGGCGGGGGCACGAGGGGCCACGGTCAAGTTGGGGGAGAGGGCACGGTCGGTCGGTCGAAATAATCTGAGGAGGGGTACATTTGGGGAGAGGGGCCGAGGCCACGAGAGCCACGGTCGAGCAGTGGAGGGGGGCACGGTCGGCCGGTCGGAGTGAGCAGAGGGGGCGGGGGGGGGGGCGGGGAACACCGAGAGCCATGGCCAGGCAAGGGGGGGGGGAGGGGGCCACGGTCGGTCGGTCGAAAGAAGGAGAGGGGGTGGGCACGGGGGATAACGGGTGGGGAGCACGGGGGGCCACGGTCGGGCACGGGGGGAGGGACGGTCGGTCGGCCTGGGTGAGAAGAGGGGAGCCACGGGAGGGGGGGGGGGGGGGGCACGGACGGGCGGCGGGGGGGGAGGAGGGCAGGTCGGTCGGTCGGAATATGCATCGGGGGGGCACGCCGAAAAAGGGGGGCACGGTCGGTCGGCCGGAATTGGCAGAGGGGGGTCACGGGGGGAAGGGGGGGGTGCACGGGGCGCCAGTGTCGGGCGGGGGAAGCGGGGGCACGGTCGGCCGGTCGGAGAAGACAGAAAAAACAGAGGGGGGGCACGGGGGACAGGTGGGGGCACGGGGGTCCACGGTCGGGCAGGGTGGGGGGCACGCCTAAAGGGTTGGTGGGATTAGCAGAAGGAGGGCACAGGGGGGAAGGGGGGGGGGCACGGGGGGCCCACAATCGGGCAGGGAGGGGGCACGGTCGGTCGGTCGGAGTGAGCAGAGAGGGGGGGCGCACGGGGGGCCACGGTCGGGCAGGGGGGGCACGGTCGGTCACCGACACATCCCAGCACCGAGCACACCGAAACAGTACAATGACACATCCAAGCACGCATCCCAGCACACCCAAGGGGGGGCGCGGCCAGCACATCACAGCACACGCATACATCCCAGCACATCCAGCACACATTCCAGCACATCTCCCAGCACATATTCCAGCATACGGAGGCAACACAACCCAGCACACACCTTGGCACACCTCCACGCGACCCAGCACCCCCAGCGCACATCCAGGGGGGCCACGGCCAGCACATGTTGCAGCACACCGAGGCAATCACACATCCCAGCACATGGAGGCAGCACAAACCCAGCACACATGGCACACCTCCACATATCTCAGCCCCCTAAGCGCACATCCGAGTACGTTCACACATCTCAGCACACCGATCCCAGCACACCGAGGCAGTACACAGACACATCCCAGCACCGAAAACACCGAGGCAGTATCCCAGCACCGAGCACATCGAGGCAGTACACCGACACATCCCAGCACGCAGCCTTGCCCAGCACACCGAGGCAGTCACGCATCCCAGCGCACGGAGCCCAACACATATCACAGGCACGGTCGGTCGGTCGAAATACCGCAGTGCGAGATCGCACCAGTAGGTCTGATGATATCCTCCTCCTCCTCGATCCTTCTATTCCCCCTCGACATCGGCCGCCGCAGGAGCTGCCCGGGGAGTTTACCACCTTCGACTTTCTGGAGGGAATCCCCGCGCCATTTAATTTCGGCCTGCCTGCGCCCCGGCGGCCCCCCTCCTCCGCGCCCCCCTTTCCCCTGCCGCCCTGCTGCCCCTCCGCTTCCTCCCTCGCTCACTCCTCCTCCCTCCTCCCTCCTCCCTTCCCTCTCTCCTCCCCCCTGCCTCCTCCCTTCTCCTCCTGCCCATCTCCTCCTCCTTCCCTTGGACCTGCCTCGTCGGAGGCAGACCACCGTTCTAGTCCTAGTCCTAGTCCTCCCTCCTCCTCCCTCTCCTCCTTCTCCCTCTCCTCCTCCCTTCTCCGGCATGCGCCGCATCTTCCCTTCTTCCCTCTCCCCCCTCGAGGGTGGAGGAGAAGGAGGAGGAGGAGGAGGAGGAGAAGGAGGAGGAGGAGGGAAGAGTGGGATGCAGACCTCGGGCGTGGCGACCAAAAGTTGCGACGGCCAGCGTTTTCGACGGCTTCGGCATCCGGATTCCCGTTTTTGGCGTTGATGCTCTCAGGGAAGCAAGCAGGGATGACAAACGTTGTGGTGGGGAAGAGCTCCAGCGGTCGGCGACAACGCAGCGACAGTGAGTTGCCTATTTATGTCCAGCATGGGCAGTCATGCTTCTTTTGTCAGGGGATGATAATCACGCAACCAAGACGGGTGCGCTCGGTCGGATCCTGATCGGTCGGTTGCTGCGCCGCTGCGTCCTTCCATGCTGCCTTCAGTCCTTCGGTCCTTCGGTCTCGGTCGGTTGCAGTTTCTATTGCGAAGGCCTGACGGCCGGTGCCGCCGACCCTGTTCGCAATGCGCAGCAAGAGGCACGGGCTGTGGGATGGTTTGGGGGAACGGGGAGAAGGACGAGAAGGTGGGGGAGGGAGGTGTCGTATCTGACCCGGGACTTCCCCGGGACTCCCCCGGGACCCCCCCCGGGACCTCCTCTCCCCCCCCCGTCGGGGAAGGGAAAGGGAAGGGGCTTCCCTTCGACTCAATGACGACGTTGCTCAAGGTCGGTACGGGGGGGGGGCGTCGTATCTGACTCGGGGGGGGGTCGCTACCCCCCCCCGCTACCCCCCCCCCCTCCCGGCGGGGGAGGAATGAAAGGGAAGGGGCTTCCCTTCGACTCAATTACGAGGTTGCTCAAGGTCGGCTTGGCTGGAGCCCAGGGGAAGAGGAGTCCCAGGGGGGGGCGTCGTATCTGACCCGGGGGGGGAGGGATCAAAGGGAAGGGGTCTCGGTCGGTTGCAGTTTCTATTTCGCTGTCGGTTCGGTCGGTTTGTTGTTTTTCGGTTTTGGTTTAGCCATTGACGCCTATGGCGAGGGATGGGGGGAAACTGCATTGCGACCGCATCCTTGATTGCAGATCACTCGCGCATTGTTCCGTTGACCAATCGGACTGAAAAAGCCCGCCTGAAAAGTTAGTCTCAGCGCGGACTCCGATGTCGACCCTGCTGTCGTTGACGATGGCGATGGCGTCGACGGCGCCGACGGCGACGGCGGCGGCGGCGGGGATGACGCCGACGGCGACGCTGCCGTCGACGACGACGGTGCCGTCTGCAACCGACGGCGCTGACGACTACGACGACGACGACGACGACGACGATGACAGCGACGACGACGACGACGAAGATGAGGACGACGACGATGGCGGCCGCGGTGGCGCTGCCACCCGAGGTCGATCCTACTTAACCAGAAGATGCTCACGCTCCCCGAGAAGCTGCAGTGCGCCCCCGCCCTGCTGCCAATGCTCATCGAGGCGGCCCCCCCCTCGCGCGGCAGATCTTCGAACGTTCTATTGCGTGTTCCTCCTCCACCACCTCCTCCTCACCCTCCCCTCACCCTCCTCCTGTACAGCGGTGGCGCTCTGCGCCGCCCCTGCTCCCTCACTGTTCTGCTCCTCCGTCCAGGGTCCATGTCGATCCGATCGATCCGATCCGATGTGGATTTTGGCCCGCCTGAGCGGATTCGGTTCCGATATTCTGACGATGCGATGCGGCCCGATATGCGCACAGCGTTGCCGTGCATCCTGGCGCGGCCGGTCCGATCCGAGTTCGATTCCGTGCCGGTGCTGCCTGATTCGATGCACATTTCGATCTCGATCCCATTTGCCCGTGCGATGCTGATTCATCCTGCTTTCCCTCCTCCCTCCCTGTTCTCCTTCCCCCAGGAGGCCCACCGCGCGGCATACCTCAAGAGGTTCTCGAACGCTGTCCGTTCATTCCTCTTAGGTCCCCCCCTCCCCCTCCCTCGCCTCCTCTCGCCCTGACCTGGAGTTCCTCGTCGTCGCGGTCGGGGTCCGCTGCGCTTGCCGGTCGGTGGCCTGCGGTGCGCCCTGAGCGGCGAGCGCGGGGCCGCTCGAGAGAGGGAGCCTCGGGGGCGCGGCTGCGGCTGGAGGCCGTGGCAGCACGCGCTCGGACGCGAGCTTACGATCGGCGCTGCCAAACAAACCGCGATCGTTGAAATTTTGAACGGTGCACGCGGTTTCGGAAGCCAATGCGCAAGCCGTCACGGTAGAAAATTCGCCGTAGTTCTTGCGCTGGCGCGCCCAGATGTGGAGATCTCGGACGATCCGTGTATTTTACAGCCACTTCGGCCACCTTACCGTTCTCTTGTTCTTGGTCGCTGTCGGGGCCCCCCCTGCCGCCACGACCACAGCTCGAAAAAAGGGCCAGGTCAAGAGGGTCCGGGGACCCGGTGAGAGATCAGATGTGTGCCCAGACCTTGAACCATTTTCTGGTGTGCTTCTGGAGTTCCCGGAGGTTGCCAGGATAGGTTGTTCGGATGTGTGTTGACGGCTCTCTGATCTTCCCATCGAAGGCCAACACGATGCAAACACAGAGGTTCGGAGGTCCGCGTGGATCTCTTGGGTCGGCGAGGGGCCTTCCAGCAGCAGTAAGGTTCGGAGCTTCAGGGGGGCGTCTGGAGGCTTCAGGGAGGGCGCGGGACGCCTCACATGTCCAAGGGTCATCCAGGGTTCTCCAGAGTTCCCAGCGGCGTCCAGGAGGAGGAGGAGGAGGAGGAGAAGGATGAGGACGATGATGCGGATGTTGAGGGGGAGCAGGGGGAGGAGGGCGAGGTGGAGAAAAGAAGGAGGAGTGAGTGAAGGGAGGGAGGGTGGGGACGGAGGGAGGGAAGAGGATGCCAGAAAAGTGGGGAAAGAGGCAGAGCAAGAGACGAGAGCATGGCAGGGGAGATGCCGATGACGTGAGAGAGGGAAGGGGGAGGAAGAGAGCAGCGGTGGCAGAAGAAGAGAAGTACGAGAACAGGGTGGGACTGCTGACTTAGCCGCGAGAGCAGGGCCAGAAGTTCATCGACCTTCAGGACGAGAGGTCAACTCTGGAGTTCATGGAAAAGTACGGCATGCCCGACAGGATCAACACTGAGGCATGGCATGGCCTGCGCCAGTGAGCACGAGGGGGCGGTTGGCAACGAGGGGGGTCTGATGATTTCCCAGCCCTATTGTGTTGTCGTATTCTGGTTTCTCTGCGCAGCGCCGCGTGTCGCACCTCGCGCTCCTCACCGCCTCCATCACCCCCTTCCTGCCCTCGCCTACTTCGGCACACCATTCACGCAGATCGTGGCCCCAGGAGGAGCTCCACCCACGCGATCTCAGTGAGGGCAGGCTCATGCCCGCCCGCGCCCACTTCTGCCCACTCCTCTCGCAGATCGTGCCCCCAGAGGGAGCTCCGCCTGCGGCCTCAGAGGGCGCCGAAGCCTGCGGGCCCGTGTCCATTTCGACACGCTCCTCACGCACATCGTGAGCCCAGAGGGAGCTCGATCGCGGCCTCTTCGGGCAGAGGCGCATGTGCTCTGGCGCCCATGCCGACAACACTATCACGCAGCTCGTGTCCCCAGAGGGAGCTCCACGTGCGGCCTCAGTGGGCGCCGACGCATGGGGGACCGCCGCAATTTCGGCGCATCCCTCACCCAGATTGTGGCCTCGGGAGCTTCACCTACGTGGGTGCAGACGCGAGGGGGCCGCGCCCCACGTGGCCCACCCGTCACGCAGATCGTGCCCCCCAAGCGGGTGCCCACCTGCCGTCTCAGCGGGCGCCGACGCATGCGGGCCTGGGCCCATCTCGGCACGCCCATCACCCGGATCGTGGCCCCCGGAGGGATCTCCACCTGTGGCCCCAGTGGGCGCTGACGCGTGCGGGCCCGGGCCCCTGTCGGCACGCCAGCACGCAGATCGTGGCCCCTATATGGAGCACAGCCCACGGCGTTACTGGGCGCACTCGTACGATGGCCCGCGCCCATCTCGGCGCACCCCCAACGCAGCTCGTGCTCCACAGGGCGCTCCACCTACGGCATGAGTGGGCGCGTTCACATGCAGGCCTCTGCCACGTTCCGCGCACCCCTGACGCAGATCGTGCCCCACAGGGAGCTCCACCTGCGGCTTCAGTGGGCGTGCTCGGAATGGAATCCTTCATTAGCCGCATCGCTCACGCGGAGCGTGCCCCACAAGGAGCTCCACCTACGGCGTTACCGTGTTCGGATGGGAATCCTTCCGTCTCGCCACACGGCTCACGCGGAGCGTACCGCTCCACTCGGAGAAGAACACTCTGCGTAAACATATATTTTCGACGGTCCGCGCGCATGTCTTGGAACTGCGTTGGACCCCCTCATTGGCGCGCGGAGCGCGCCAGCGGCGGCGCCAGAGGCGCCGCCAGGGGGCTCCAGCGCGGATTCGAGACATCCGCGCGGACTTCCGCGTTCGTATGTTTATGTCATTGGTTGCTCCCCTAGTTCACGCGGAGCGTGACCCACAGGGAGCTCTACCTACGGCCTCTGCGGGCGCGTTCGCATGCGGTCCAGCGCTCATCTCGGTACTTCTTTGCCGCAGCGGCGAGAATTCCAGTCCCGTGAGAAGGCACGCGGATCGCGGCCCCACAGGGAGCACAGCCGGCCTCTTGCGAGCGTGCTCCGCAGGCACCCTATATTCGCCAGGCCACGCGGCGCGCAGTTTACGAGAAGAGGTTCACGCCCTGCAGTTGCATTATGCCGAAGAAGAAAACTACATGAATATAAATTGTCGGAGCTCCGCGCGGATTCTTGACTGGCGCTGGGACCCCCTGGAGACGCCTCCGGCGTCGCCCCTGGCGCGCTCCACGCGCCAGGGATGGGGTCCCAGCGCAGATCCAGCCGCGCGGACATCCGATAATTTATGTTCATGCAGTTGTTTCTTATTCTATTATGGTCAGGCTCGTATGTTTTTGTGGGCGGTCACTGGCGGGTCCAAATGGAAGGTGTTCGCGTCGCCCAAGCGGGTAGGACGGGGAATGGGGGGCCACAGGCCCAAAGGGCGGGAAGGAGGCAAACGGGCCAGGGTCAGCATCCAAGGGGTATCCCAGCTGTCCCTTCTGAGCCATTCGGTGTCTAAGTCTCTTCAGCAGCCGAAAGGGCAGCCGCGTGTGCTCGAGTGCAGCACGGCGGTGAGAATTCGGCCCGTTCGGCGACCGAGTGGGAGCGAAGGCAGGCGCATGGGCTCAGATGCCGAAGGGGCTCCGAAGGCAACCTTCGGGCAAGAACGGACCGCCCTTCTCAAGATTCTCCTCCTCATCATCCTCCTCCTCTTCCTCCTCATCCTCCTCATGGTTCACCTCTCGGCTCTCTGCTTATGCGGATGCTGCTGAGGGAGTTTCCTGGCCTGCTGCTGGGCCCGAGGCGCGATACCCGTCGGGATTTTGCCTGGAGGCCCAGGCGGGGTCGAAGCCCCCCTCCCCAGAACCCTGCGGAGGTCTCTTTGGCATTCCAAAAAGGCCCGACGGGACCGACACCGCGGGGACCTCTCGATCATTGATCCTCCTCCTGGGTCGGTGCCCACGGGCACCAGATGCTGCGCGCCTCTCCCGCGCGCGCGTGTGCTCCGCCACTGCCCCCATCCCTCCTCCTCTCCCTCCGTTTCCCTCTCCATCTCCTCCGCCTCCTCCCCAGACCTCTACACTGGCGTTCGGCCGACCCCGTAAGCAGTGTAGGTCTCGCCATACTGTCAGTGCTGTTCTCCTCTTTGTAACAGTGTGCATTCGCTTTCGCTCGTGGGCATCGTGGAGCCGACGTGCTCCCAGCCCTCCGGCGCCACCGCCGTACTCTCATAGGGCCGTCCTCTGGGACGATTGTCGGCGGCCCGTGTTCCCACTCGCGGCACCTGGAGGCCGCTCCATGGGCTGGGGCTCCCGCGCCAGGAGGAGGCGATCGAGAGGGTGGTCGAGAGATGCGGGGACCACGTGCCGAACACATCAAGACGCCGTCGGACGGGGCAGGACTCAGGCCAGGACCCAGGCCAGGACTCAGTCGGGGGGGGGGCCGCCCCCCTCATTGCTCCCCTCTTCCCCGCATATACAGCCTGCCCAGCCTGCCTCCTTCCTGGGACTGCGAGGCTGGCGCACGCTGCCCCGAACGGAGCGTCTTTCGGGCGGGGCTAGGACGAGAATAGTCCGTTCCAGAGCCACAACGCTCTGAGAAGGCCGCGGCGCCCGAGACATGCTCCAGAGCTGCCGGGCCTCAGAGACTCGCGATTCATCCTCATCCGATGTTATCCTCGTCCTGGCTTCGCCTTATAGTCTTGGCCGAGCGTCACTGCTCACGTGCCGCGGTGCAGCTTTGACCCGTGGCGGTTTGCCTTCACATTCTGGGGTGGAGAGCTGGGAGAGAGTTGTAGAAACATGAACGTTCGGAGTTCAGATCGCATGTCTTGGATCTGCGCCGAGCCCCCCTCCCTGGCGCGCGCAGCGCGCCAGAGGCGGCGCCAGTGGCGCTGCCAGGGGACCTCCAGCGCCGATCCAAGAGATCCGCGCGGAGCTCCGAAAGTTTGCGTGTACTTCCTCCTGTCTCCCCCGAGCCAGGTGTTCATCGCAATGGCCAAGGCGCTCGACTTCATCGACCCGGACAAGCTCTCGATGACCGTCGTGCTCACGGCCATGAACCGGCGCCTCCCCCGCCGCCTCCCGGGCGGGTCGCTCTGCCCGCGCAGGAGCAGGGGTGCAGCTCGAGGGGGCGGAGGAGGAGCGCGCCTCCGCGGGCTGCGGCGTGCGGAGGGCTCGCGTGCGCGTTCCGCCCCTCGGTGTCGATCTTCCCCTGCGCCCGCGCACTCGGCAGAGTGGCCGCCGGGGCGGCCTCCCCGTCGGGGCAGCTCGGGCCTGCGGCGCGCTGTTGTGTCGGTCTCGGCGGCGGGGAAGGAGGAGGGGGAGGAGGAGGCGTCGGCCAGAAGGCACACATCAGTGATTGCACTGAGGTTAATATCCGATGTCAGCCTCCTTGGGGGGGGGGGGGCTGCTCTAGTTAGAACCCCGCCTGAGTCGGTGTCTCGGCTATGGTCCCAGAGTCCCCCGCAGAGGCAGGTTCACGACGAGGGCTGGCTGCTCCAGGCTGCCCGCCTCTCTCCCGTCTGCGCCCGGTGGGGGCACAGGCTCTTGAGCGAATGCCTCGTGCTGCGGTTCCGTGGGGCGGAACCGTGCGACCTCGACAGACCTCGTCTAGCACGAGGCATACCGACAGGTGCGTTCCAGGGACCGCCTCGAGGATGCCGGGTGGGTTGGATCATCTGCAGCATTTTCGGCGCCAGGGTGACGACGTGTGGCCAACGGGGCGACAATCGACCAGAGTCTGCCGCCCCTCCTTTGCGTTGCATCCTTGAGGTCTTGTCTGTCCTTTCCTGTGTTTTCCTGTACCCGACGTGGATTCGGCATTCGAGATTCGATGCGGATTCGACGCGGATAGCCACAGAGACGGTCCCTCGAAGATGTGCCATGGATTTGTTGAATCTTCTCTTATGTTCGGGGCGTCTGAGCTCGTGAGCGAATAGCACGTCCGTATCTGCGACTTCGCGGGCTATGCCCCTGGGCCGCGACCCCGCGGATACGGGGCGCTTTTTTTTGGTTACCCCGCGCGAGACATCCGTGAGACCGCGTGTCCGCACCCCAGAACGGGATTGTTTCTTTATCTTCTCCAGGCCACAGGCGAGAGTCTGGGCAACTTCCACACGACCTTGTAGAGATCCGAATGCAGTTCCCACGGATCCAAACATAATTCTTGAATGCGAGGAGGAGGACGAGGAGGAGGAGGAGGAGCAGCAGGAGGAGGAGGAAGAGTGGCACACGGCTGCTGCGGTTGCCCAAATCACAGCTTGTACACTGGCACCGTGGTGCACGAAAGCCTGCTGTGGATTATATCCTGGTCCAGAACAATCGGAATCAGACATATCTTACATATTGGAAATGACATGTTTTCTTGCCCGCTACGATTTTCCAGAGATGGTGCTCCCCGTTCAGGTCTTTGTGATGCACACAGGCGTGCACACAAGCATTGTGGTGAACGCGAGTGTGAGGTGCTGTGGTGCACACGGCTGCTGTGGTTGCCCAAGCATCGTGTTCTGTCCCGGAGCCGTGGTGCACGAAGGCACTGCGGGCCCAAAATACAGGGCGGACTGTGCCCAAGGCCAGAAACATCAAGAATCACACATAGCTCACATAATGAATGTGATAGGTTCGGGCCTACCACGATTTCCCAGATTTGGGGTCCGGTCGGTACCTTGGGGTGTACAGAGGATTTGTGGTGTACACAAGCCTTGTGCTGGTCGCAGTCGCTAGGCGTTGTGGTGCACATGGCTGCCGTGGTTGCGCAAGCATCATGTCGTACAAGCGCTGTGTTGTACGCAGGCGCTGCGGGCCCAAAACACAGGGTGGAGCCGTATCCCGGGCCTCAAAATCAAGCAGCACAAACAACTCACAGATTGAATGTGATACGTTCGAGCCCAGTGCTCGTCGGGATTGTGGTGTGCACTTGCGCTGTGGTGTATGTGGTGTATGAAGGCCTTGTCGTGTACACAGGGGTTGTGGTGCACACAGGCGATTGTTGCGCCAGTGCTGCGGGCGCGCCTTTGGTAGTGCACGCCACAGTCGCCGTCCTGTCTTGGATTATGTTTCGGCTCCCCAAAAACAGGGAGGGGGGAAGTAGCGTACTAAATTAGCGTGTGCACTTTCCTCCCTCGGTTTTGGGGTGTCGGCGGCAGGTCCTCTCGTTGCTTTGTGCATCTCAGCTGCTATTTGCGATTCGTTGCCCTCTCCCTCGTCTGTGCGACCGCCATGCGCGCGAATTTTTGCAAGCACGCTGCCCCCCTCCCATGGGGCACATCTGCTTCGCGATGTCTTTTCCCTTGGCTCGTGATGCGGATCAAATATCCTCTCCCCGCCGACCCCCTCTCCACCCCCAAAGACACGCGCTACCCCACCTGGGTAAAGGAACGAACTCAGTCCAGACCGCTCCAGACCGCGAGGGCGCGGATACGGATATGTTCGCCGCTCGTGGTGAGCTCGTGGTGATCAGGGCAGACGCCCACGCCCTCGCCCAAATGCCGTGTTCATGCTGGATTCTTCCGTCCGGCTCCTCCTTCACCTCGCTGCTCCCCCTCCTCCTCCTCCTCCTTCTCCTCCTTCATCGGTTCCTCAACGAGACCGACGGGCTGCAGATGGCGTTCCTTGATGAGGGGCTGGGGGCGAGATGGATGAAAGGATTGCAGTTGACAGGATAGGCGCACGCGACCCTTCTCCAAGTCTGCTGGAGTGGCCTGTTGACAGGGCGCAGGCGCATTTGGGGTCGGCGTATTCCAGGTCTCTCGGCACTTCACGCTGTTGTTGTCCGAGAGAACGAAGGCTGGTACGTGGCACTGAGACGGCGCGTCCTGCGCGAGCGTGGCTGAGTGTCCTGCATTCGTCCAGCGCCCGTCTATACCACTTTGCGACCGAGGCTAAGGCGGGCCCTTGCTCGAGCCTGAGAGCTCGATCCGTGGCAGAATAAAGCAAGTGAGAGGATAATGCAACGAGAAGCGAGGGTACACGATGACAAAGGGGAATGTGGGAGCTAGGCAGGGAGGGAACATGCAGAAGGATGTGGAAGGGAGCTCGAGGGGGTGACCCGAAACAGCGACAAAGTCAGCGCAGGCGGGCGCCAACCGTACGACACAACTGTGGCAGCGCCTCGGCATTTTTCTCGAAGCTGAGCGCGCGAAGCGCTTGCGTGGTTCTAGCGCGCGTGTGTGTATATATATATATATAAATGAATAAATTACAAATCTGATTATACACATGTATCCATACACATATATATGTATATATGTGTCACTATGTAATTGTATTTATACACGTTGTAGATGTGTATGCATATGTGTACATATATATATATGTTCAGATTAGCATACTTTCTATTAGCCTGACCCCCCCCCCACACACACACTCACACACGCATACGCACACGCACACGCACACGCACACGCACACGCACACGCACACACACACACACACACACACACACACACACACACACACACACACACACACACGCACACACACACACACACCTAAACCAGACCCCCCCCAGGGACGCCCCGGACGCCCTTTCGGACGTCTCGGCGGCCCCCTGGACGCCCTGGGAAAAGGTCGGCCGGCCCTTCCAGGCCTCCCTGGGCGTCTTGCCGGTCCTTGCGAGCATATTCAAGGCGATCAGAGGATTCAAGGCGATCAGAGGGGGCATCGGAAAGGCACACGAGATACCCAAGACAACACAAGAGCGCTCCAAGAGGAACATCGATGGTCTGAAGACGGCCGACGTTAAGAAAGCCCCGAAGAAGCAAACATCGTCGCATTCCCTTCGGAAGATACATATTTTTACCATCGCCGCTTCGGGGGTGTTCGCAGCGTCCAAGACCGCCCGATGGGCTCCCGATATTGCCCTACGACGGCCCAAGACTGCCCCAGAGAGCCCCGAGACTGGCCACAAGAAGCCCAAGATGTCCCCCAGAAGGCTCCCCAGAGAGACCCACGAAGGCCATGGGAGACCCCCAGCCCCCCTTCATCCCTGCTCCCTTCCCGCTCCCTTCTCATGGACAGGCGCCATCGCAACAGTTTGATGCTTAGTCGTTTACCAGCACCTTCGCGCGGGGGGGAAAAAAACATCATTCCTTCCACACTCCTGCGCACAAGCGTTCAAGCGCATCGGGCGAACGCGGTGCCGGCAGGCACCAGGGATATTAGAAAAAGGGCCGGTCGCCCGTCCAGGCCTCCAGGCCATTCTGCTGAAGCAAGCGATGATTTATTGCTTTGCCGGGGAAGCGTCCAGAACAATGCGCACGGCGCAGAGCGCCAATGCAGTCTTGTGTATATATATATATATATATGTATACATTTATAATTACAAAAAAATACGAGTGGTATATGTACATATATATATATATATATATCAGAGGTGTGGGGGGTGAGATCGAAGTGGAACGGGGAGCCACCCCACCGGGAAATCGGTTTCGGTTTCGCGTTCGTGCGCGCCGCGCGTGCGGGCGAGGCGAAGCTGCGCGGGCGGACGAGAGGGAAGTCTCCTGTGGCTGAGGCGCGGCCAGACCTAATTATTCTTCCCTCTGGCAAGCGGTGGCCCGCGGTGTCCCGCCGGTGTCCCGCCGGTGTCCCGCTTGTGGCTGGGCCCCGGCCGGACCAAATAATTCTCGCTCCGGCAAGCGGTGGCCCGCGGTGTCCCGCCAGTGTCCCGCCCGTGTCCCGGTGCGAAAACGATTGTGAGACCGATGACGAAATCCATTGTGAGATCGACAGTAGGATCGATAGTGAGACCGATCGTGAAATCGATCGTGAGATCGATAGTGAGATCGATAGTGATATGACTAGTGCTATCGATTGTGAGATCGAGTTATATCGATAGGGAGATTGATTGTGGGATCGATAGCGAGATCCAGGGTGATATCGACAGTGCAATCGATCGAGTGAGATCGATAGTGATATCGATACAGTGATATCGATAGTGAGATCGATCGAGTGAGATCGATAGTGGGACGGATGGTGCGACCGATCGTGGGATCGATAACGACATCACTTGTGAGATCGATAGAGAGATCGATCATGAGACCGATGGTGAGATCGATCTTGGGACCGATAACGACATCGTTTGTGAGATCGATCGAGAAATCGATAGTGGGATCGACTGTTGCCCATTGCTGGCCCCCTTACCCCCCGACCTTATTACCCGCAGGGTGGTCGTATAGGTGTGTGTGTGTGTGTATATAGCACCCCGCAATTGCGGATAAGAGTGAGGGGGCGGGCGCGGGCGACGCGGGCGTCGTCAAGCCGGCGGACCTCGTGGCCCCCACCTTCCTTGTCGATGGCGCTCCTCCTCCTCCTCCTCCCTCCTCCTCCTCCTCCTCTCCTCCTCCTCCTCCTCCTCCGCCTCCTACTCCTCCTCCTCTTCCTCGTCCTCGTCCTCGTTCTCATCGTCATCGTCGTCCTCCTCCTCCACCTCGTCCTCCTCCTCCTCCTCCGCTTCTTCCTCGTCCTCCCTCTCCCCCCCTCGTCCTTCCATCATCGTCCTCCCATTGTCGTCATGTTCCTCCTCGTCGTCCTCCTCCTCTTCCCCCCCTCCCGATCCTCCACCCTCCTCCTTTTCGTCGTCGTCGTCGTCGTCGACGTCATCGTCGTCGTCCCCTCCTCCTCCTCCTCCTCCTCCTGCTGCTCCTCCTCCTCCTCCTCCTGCTGCTCCTCCTCCTCCTCCTCCTCCTCCTCCTCCTCCTCCCCCTCCTCGTCCTCCTGCAAAAGCAGCCCGCCGCAGGCGCCGAAAAAATTGGTTTGTACACTGAACGTGGTTTGGGTCGCGGGTGGGCCGCGGGTTCTCCACCGGGAACGAATGCAAAAGATGCTCGCCGCAGGCGCCGAAAAAATTGGTTTGTACCCTGAACGTGGTCGCGGGTGGGCCGCGGTCTCTCCACCTAGAACGATTCAAAAGATGCCCGCCGCAGGCGCCGAAAAATGTGGTTTGTACCCTGAACGTGGTTTGGGTCGCGGGTTGGTCGCGAGTTGATCGCGGGGTGGGTCGCGGGCTCTCCACCTGGAAGGAATGCAAAAAAAGCCCGCCGCAGGCGCCGAAAATGTTGGTTTGTACCTTGAACGTGGTTTGGGTCGAAGGTGGGTCGCGGGTGGGTCGCGGGGTGAGTCGCGGGTGGGTCGCGGGTGGGTCGCGGGTGGGTCGCGGGCGGGTCGCGGGTGGGTCGCGGGGTGGGCCGCGGGCGGGTCGCGGGGTGGGTCGCGGGTGGGTCGCGGGTGGGTCGCGGGGTGGGCCGCGGGGTGGGTCGCGGGGTGGGTCGCGGGTGGGTCGCGGGTGGGTCGCAGGGTGGGTCGCAGGGTGGGTCGCGGGGTGGGTCGCGGGGTGGGTCGCGGGGTGGGTCGCGGGTGGGTCGCGGGTGGGTCGCGGGTGGGTCGCGGGTGGGTCGCGGGGTGGGTCGCGGGTGGGTCGCGGGGCGGGTTGCAGGTGGGACGACGACAACAACAACAACAACAACAACACAACAACAACAACAACAACAACAACAACAACAACAACAACAACAACAACAACAACAACAACAACAACACGAATCCGCACCGCGGAATCTCACTTCAGCCACGCACCCAGGGACAATGAATGACCGTTCGGCCCCCTCACTCTGATATATACATACATATACGTGTGTGTGTATGTGTATATACTCCTTTCTTATGTTTTTGCAATCCGGGGGGGGTGGGCCCACCCCCCTGGGCCGGACCTTCCGGAATCCCTGGCTTTGGGGGCTTTTGGGCGCCCCTGCCGAAGGTTCCATGAGACCTCCAGGCTTTTGGGATTCCCTGCCAAGTCGCGCAAACGAGCCGGCGGTAGCCCCAAGAGGATCCAACATGGCCTCCTGATGGCCCAAGAGACCTTCCAAACGCCCCAAAAAGCTACAAGAAGAACCCCCAACTGGGCCCCCAACTCCAAAACCTGTGCGTTCCCCACAAAGTTTTGCATTATTCTGGTATTCTCGATTTTTTTCGTGCTACCGACGACCCAGGAAGGCCCGAAAAGGCCACCAACATCGCCCCAGGACAGCCCGTGACGGCCCGAGAAGGTTCCAAGACGGGCGAAGACGCCCCCACGATCCCCGAAGGAGGTACCAAAACGGACCGTCAGACAGCCACCATGCGCGAGCCCTGCGGCCCACATGGTTGCCGCGACGACCCCGAGACGCTTCTCCACAGACCCAAACACATCGAAGAGGTCTTTGACGTACGACCCCGCATTGGCGCCTTCGTCCAGCACTCCCACCAACTATGTCCGAATTCCAGTTTCGCGACGTTCCCACCAGCACGCGGGTGTGAGGAGGAGGAGGAGGATGAGGAGGAGGAGGACGATTATGATGATGCTGATGACGATGATGAGGAAGAGGGAGGAGGAGGAGGAGGAGGAGGAGGAGGAGGAGGAGGAGGAGGAAATGGAGGAAATGGAGAGGAGGAGGAGGAAATGGAGGAGGAGGAGGAGGAGGAGGAGGAGGGAGCAGGAGGAGGAGGAGGAGGAGGAGGAGGAGGAGGAGGAGGAGGGAGTAGGAGGATCGGGCAATGCCAAGGGGGATCACCAGGAAATCGATTATGGTTTCGGGTTCGTGTCGTGCGTGCCGTGCGTGCGGGCGAGGCGAAGCTGCGTGGGCGGGCGAGAGGAAATCCTTCCGTGGCTGGGCCGCGGCCGGACCAAATGTAACTCCTCCGGCGGCCGGTGCCCCGCGGTGTCCCGCCGGTGTCCCGCGGGTGTCCCGAAATCCTCCTGTGGCTGGGCTGCGGCCAGACCAAATGTAACTCCTCTGGCGGCCGGTGCCCCGCGGTGTCCTGCCGGTATCCCGCTGGTGTCCCGAAATCCTCCTGTGGCTGGGCCGCGGCCGGACGTCCGTCCGGCGGTGGCTCGCGGTGTCCCGCGGTGTCCCGTGGTGTCCCGTGGAATCCCGTGGTGTCCCGTTGAGATCGATCGTGAGATCGATAGTGAGATCGATGGTGAGATCGATATGGTTAGTGAGATCGATACTGAGATCGATGTGGTGCCCCGAGGTGTCCCGTGGTGTCCCAAAAAGTGAGATTGATAGTGAGATCGATACTGAGATCGACAGGTGTCCCGTGAGTGAGATCGATAGTGAGATCGACAGTGACATCGATACTGAGATCGATTTGGTGCCCCGTGGTGTCCCCGAAAAGTGCGATCGATAGTGAGATCGATAGTGAGATCGACAGGTGTCCCGTGGTGTCCTGTTAAGTGAGATCGATATTGAGATCGATAGTGAGATCGACACTGAGATCGACGTGGTGCCCCGAGGTGTCCCGTGGTGTCCCAAAAAGTGAGATCGATAGTGAGATCGACAGGTGCCCCGTGGTGTCCCGTGGTGTCCTGTTGAGTGAGATCGATAAAGGTCGACAGTGACATCGTTACTGAGATCGATGTGGTTCCCCGAGGTGTCCAGTGGTGATCCGTGGTGTCCCAAAAAGTAAGATCGATAGTGAGATCGATAGTGATGTGGTGTCCAGTGTTGTCCTGTCGTGTCCTATGGTGTCCCGTTGAGTGAGGCAGATAGTGCGACCGATAGTGAGATCGAGAGGTGTCCCGCGATGTCCCGTGGTGTCCCGTGATGTCCTATGGTGTCCCGTTGAGTGAGATCGATCGTGAGATCGATAGTGAGATCGACAAATGTCGCGTGGTGTCCCCTCGTGTCCCGTGGTATCCCGTGGTGTCCCGTGGTGTCCCGTGGTGTCCCGTGGTGTCCTGTTGAGTGAGATCGATAAAGGTCGACAGTTACATCGTTACTGAGATCGATGTGGTTCCCCGAGGTGTCCAGTGGTGATCCGTGGTGTCCCAAAAAGTAAGATCGACAGTGAGATCGATAGTGATGTGGTGTCCAGTGGTGTCCTGTCGTGTCCTATGGTGTCCCGTTGAGTGAGGCAGACAGTGCGACCGATAGTGAGATCGAGAGGTGTCCCGCGGTGTCCCGTGGTGTCCCGTGATATCCTATGGTGTCCCGTTGAGTGAGATCGATCGTGAGATCGATAGTGAGATCGACAAATGTCGCGTGGTGTCCCCTCGTGTCCCGTGGTATCCCGTGGTGTCCCGTGGTGTCCCGTGGTGTCCCGTTGAGTGAGATCGATAGTGAGATCGATTGAGTCAGATGTTGGTTCCTCCCCCTCTCCCCCCACCACAACCTCCTTATCACCCGGCGGGTGGTCGTATAGGTATATACATATATCTATTCACAAGACTGCATTGGCGCTTCGCGCCATGCACCTTGGTCCTTGAAGTTTGGTGTGCAGGCGGAATAGCAGGAAGGTCAAGCCGACAATTTAGCGATAACTCCTTGTTGCCTTTTCCGGCATCGCCGCTATAATAATATCATTCGTTATCCGTCTTCCATGCTCTGGGGGCTTCCTCGGGCCACCCTGCCTCCAACCGCGGTCTCCCTGAACGACCGGGTCACGATTTGGAATGCTTCGGAGGGTGTCTTGGGGCCATCTTGGGCCGCCATGGGGCTCTCTGAGGACCATCTTGGACCCGTGTTGTGCCGTTTTCGGGCTCTCTTGGACTGCCCAGAAGCCTTCTCGGATGGTTGTGCGGCGATTTTGGAGCCTCCCAGGCGGCTTCGGACGCCCAGAAGACCGCCGTCTTGGAGCGTCGGGAAGCCCAAAAGAGGAGAACCCCCAAATTCACCAAGAACCAACAGAAAATCAATGAGTTTTGCCTCTTGGGGCCTTCTTGGGAGTGCTCTTGAGGCCTCTTTGGGACCGTCCTGGAGGCCTCTTGGGCCATCTGGAGGTCACGTCGGTCACTCTTGGAGCGCTCTTGTGCTGTCTTGGGGGTCTCTGGAACATCTCCGATGACCCCCCTGATCGCCTTAGGCGTGCTGGGAAGGCTTGGCAAAAAAGCCCTGCGAGGCCCGGGGGGCCGCTTCGAGGCCCGTCCAGAGGGTCCCAAAGCCCCAGATCCCGGGAGTCCTGTTTTTTTTGTGGGGGGGACCCCTTTCGCGTTCCGCCCGGATTGTAAACATATATAAAAAAAAGGAATGGACTTGCCCTCGGCCCATCCCGCAGTTGTGCCTGGGCTATTAGTAGAAAGCCTCTCTCTCTCCGCCCTTTCCCGAGATGCCGCGGGAGAGGGCAGGGCAACCAGACCTTGCGGCTCTGCGAGCCGCTCAAGGAGTACATCGAGGCGAGCCCCCCTCCCAGCCTGACGGCAGCCCAGGGGCGGGAATCAGGAGGCGGAGGAGAAGGTGGAGAACGCGGCCCCGGGTTGCCGAAACGGAGTAATACAACGCCAAGATTGAACAAGCCAATCTGCCCGAGGTTTGGGTGAAGAGCAGCAGCAGCAGCAGTACAGCAGGAAGATGAGGTGGTGGTGTGACTGAGCGGCACTGGCAGCGGGAGCATGGCCCTGGTTTTTGTTTGTGTGGCAGTAGCATGCCCCGTGCAGTAGCAGCCGCAGTAGCAGCAGCATCAGCAGCAGCATCAGCAGCAGCAGCAGCAGCGGGAGCGTGCTGTTTCCTCTCAGCACCCCCCTGCCGCGGCAGGCTCGCGGGGGTGAGATTCGCTGCGGTGTCCCTCTGGACTCTATCGTCACCGAGGAGGACGGCTCCGTGAAGCACTTCTTGATGCGGGGCGGGGAGGTGGTCACGGCGGACGAGTACGTCACCACGGTGCCTTGTGACATCATGAGGCGCGGCCTGCTGTGGGGACCTGCTGCGCGACATGGCCGACTGGAAACGCCACACTGCTCACAATACAAGTAATAATGCATACAGCAATCGACAGCATATTTGATAAGGGCGAGGAGGACGAGGACAAGACGGAAGACGATGTCCAGGAGGCAGACAATGACGAGGAAGGGGTGGAGGAGGGGGGTCCTTCGTGGCGGCAGGCATGAGGTTCGGAGGACCTTTCCAGGCACTGCCAAGAGCCCTCCCGGACATCGGAAGGACAACGACGACGCCCGACGGGAACATCTAGGGAGGGTGTCTTTACGGGACGCGGGTGTCAGGGTCTGGGTTGGTCCGGGCGCTCTGCGGGTATCGCGAGTTCGAACAGGGTGTTTGACATCGACTTTGCGCACGCCCAGCTTGGTAGCCCCGAGGTAGGCACGCCCGTGGTTCGCTGGGCCGCAGCTGGCGGTGTGTGACTGGGTGGCAAAGTCATCTTGCATCGATCATTCAACCCTTGGGGATGGCTCCTGACAGTGCCCTGCTATTTTTTGCTTCGGCGGGATGTGAAGGCGGATTGCCAGCAGCGTCAACAGGCGCACACACACACACACACACACACGAGCACCCGCATTCCAGTCGAACGGGCATCAGTTGTAGGACAGACTCTCAGCTACACTGTCTGCTCCGCGGGCGAAGCGACGCTGCCGTCGCGGGGGAATGCCAGGAGCGCCTACGAGCTAATGGCACCAAGCGTTGTGGATGCAAAGCAGCGGGGGAGGCCGGCAGCAGAAGGGGGAGAGACCTCAATTTGGCTTGCATGCAAGCGGAATTCTGAGAGACCGCGGAAGAGCGCGTCGACCCTAGTGGGAACGCGGACGCAACCGGCGGGCGACTCAAACCTACGCACACGCACACACACACACACATGCGTGCACATAGACACACACACACACACATACTCGTTTTGGCGGTCGCGGCATCGCGCGCGGCCTCGCGCGCGGCAATGAGGCGAAGCAAGTCAAGTGCGTCGGCCGAAACCCCGGACGGTGAGCGCGCGCGCCGGCTCAGGAGGGGGCACACGCACACATACACACCTGTTTCGAGTTCGCTGGCCACTGAAGAGCTCACGTGGCCGGTCACGCAGCACTGTCCAGTGCGAACGCTATGCAGGACGCATGGCTCCAGGCACAGGACGCAGGCGGCGGCCAGAGCTGAACCCCAGATTTCTGCTGGGCCAAGCCAGCCGAAGTGCAACACCCGTCGTCGCAAAGGCATCGAGGTGCAGGATCAGCAAGCACGACAAGCAGTCGAGGAGGGCGATATGGGCGATATGTTGAGGAGAGCGATGTTGAAGTACCCCCCCGCCCATGCTGCCATAGCGCAGGAATGTAGTGAAGTCCACGGTCTGATTTGTGTGTCGAAGAGTTGGCAAATCACGACGCGCACCACCAAACCCGGATGTTTGTGTTGCATGTGCGTTGTTTAGGTGACCCCGCCAGAGAGGTCAACAACCACATATAGACTCCGGGCCCAACCGCAGGACAAACCCGCACGACGAAGAACATGTGGATGATCACATGGAGCCCATTGAAACCCGGTAGGTGCACTTGTGGCGCGAGCAACATGTGCCCCCCGCCGACATAGATGAGGGTCCGATGAATATCCCACGTCGTACCAAATTCGCACCAATTCGGAGAACAGGGGCGCCCTTCGCAACAGCAAGCTGCAGAAGGTCACCACCGATGACGAGTCCTACTACTGTACGTCGTGCGAGTATGCCCGTGAGGACAGGAAGCGATCCAGCAGCCATGAGGCCACGTAGAACTACGGAGGCTGCATCAGAGTTGAAGCCGATTAATGCCCAGCGAAGAATTGAGGGCGATGAGGCCTCGCGGGTATGATGAATATTGATGACGGCAATCGGGAATTGATATGGCCAACGCTTCATAGACTCGGTCTCGTCCTCGTTTCCAGCACCTCATTCATACCAGGCGCTCGTGTAAATGAATCACGTGTCTCGATTTTGTTTCGCAGAGACTCTTGGGGATCGAGTTCAAATTAGATTCCAACCCTCCATCCCTCCAGGCTCCCCCCGCGGGCACACAGAATAATACTTTCAAATTGCGGCCGTACCCTCAAATTGCGGTCATGCTCCCCTTCGTTGCCCAGGACCTTCCAGGCATCCCTGCGCCCCCGTGGTTTTCATTGACTTTTTGGTTGTCAGTGCCCTTTGGTTTTCGACGCCGCTTTGGTTTTCGGCGCCATTTGAGTTTTCGGCGCCCTTTTGGTTTTCGGCACCCCTTTAAGTTTTCGGCTCCCTTTTTTGGGGGGAGTCCTTTTGATGTTCTGTGCCCTTCTGGTTATCGGCGCCCTTTAGATTTGCGGCGCCCCTTAGGTTTTTCGGTGCCCTTCTGGTTTCCGGCGCCCTTTAGGATTCCAGCTCCCTTAAGGTGTTCGGCGCCTCATTGTTTTTCGATACCCTTTTGGTTTTCGACGCCCTTGTGGTGTTCGGCTTCCTTTGGGTTTTCGGCGCCCTTTAGGATTCCAGCGCCCTTGAGGTGTTCGGCGCCTCATTGTTATTCGATACTTTTTTGGTTTTCGGTGCCCTTCTGGTTTTCGGCTCCCATTGTGTCGGCATTCTTTCGGTTGTCGGCGCCCCTATGGTGTTCGGCGCCCTTTGGGTTTTCGGCGCCCATTAGGGTTTCGACGCCATTGGAGTGTTCGGCGCCCTTTTGATTTTCTTTTCCCCTGTGGTTTTCGGCGCTCTTCACGTTTTCGGCGCCCTTTTGGTTTTCGTCGCCCCTTGGGTTTTCATCGCCCTCTTGATCATCGGCGCGCCGTTGGTTTTCGGCGCCCTTTTGTTTTTGTTGCGCCCCGTTGGTTTTCGGCGGCCTTTTGGTATTCGGCGCCCTTTCGGTTTTCGTCGTCCCTTTGGTTGTCGGCGCCCCTTTAAGTTTTCGGCACCCTTTTGGTTTCCTGTGCCCGCACTTTTGGTTTTCGGTCGGCGTCTTATTGTTTTGGCCACACTCTTTTGGGTTTTCGGCGCCCTTTGGGTTTTCGGCGCCCTGCAGGTTTTCGGTGCCATTTTGGTTTTCGGCGCCCCTTTGGTTTTTGGTGCCCTTTTGGTTTTCGGTACCCTTTTAGTTTTTGGCGTCCCTTTGGCGTTCGGCGCCCATTTGGTTTTCGGTCCCCTTTTTGGTTTCTGCGCCCTTTTGTTGTTCGGCGCCCTTTAGGTGTTCGGCGCCCTTCAGGTGTTCGGCGCCCATTTGCTTTTCGGTGCCCTTTTGGTTGCCGGCGCCCCTATTCGTTTTCTGCGCCCTGCTGGTTTTTGGTGTCCTTTACCTTTTCGGCGCCCCTGAGGTGTTCGGCTCCCTTTTGTTTTCTGCGCCATTTTGGTTTTGGGCGCCCCTTAAATTTTGGGCGCCCTTTTGGTTTTCGACGTCCCTTTGGTTTTCGACGCCCTTGTGGTGTTCGGCTTCCTTTGGGTTTTCGGCGCCCTTTAGGATTCCAGCGCCCTTGAGGTGTTCGGCGCCTCATTGTTATTCGATACTTTTTTGGTTTTCGGTGCCCTTCTGGTTTTCGGCTCCCATTGTGTCAGCACTCTTTCGGTTGTCGTCGCCCCTTTGGTGTTCGGCGCCCTTGGGGTTTTCGGCGCCCCCGTGGTTTTCGGCGCCTTTGTGGTTTTCTGCGGCTTTCTTTGTAGGTTTTCGGCGTGCTTTGGTGTTCGGCGCCCCTTTTTGTTTTCTGCGCCCTTTTGTTTTCTGGCGCCCTTTTGCTTCTGGGCGCGCTTCAGGTGTTCCGCGCCAGTGGTTTTTGGCGCCCTTTTGGTTGTCGGCGCCCCTTTAGTTTTTGAAGCTCTTTCGGTTTGCGGAGCTCCGTAGATTTTCGGCGCCCCTTTGGTTTTTGTTGCACTTTTTTGATTATCGGCGCCCTTCAGGTTTTCGTCGCTCTTGGTTTTCGGCGCCTTTTTGTTGTTCTGCGCCCTTCTGGTTTTCGGCGCTCTTGGCGCCCTTTTGGTTGTCGGCGCCCTTTTGGTTTCTGGTGCCCTTCGGGTTTTTGGCGTTCCTTTGGTTTTTGGCGCCCTTTTGGTTGTCGGCCCCCTTCTGTTTTTCGACGCCCTTGAGGTTTTTGGCGCCTTTCAGGTGGTCGGCGCCCCTTGGTTTTTCGGCGCCTTTTTGGTGTTCGGTGCTCTTCTGGTTTTCGCCGCCCTTTTGGTTTTCGGCGCCCTTTTGGTTTGTGCCCTTTGGTGTTCGACGCCCTTTTTGGGTTTCGCCTCCGGCCCGGCTAAGAATAATTGATGCAGCGCGCCACCCTAATTTTCAAACGACCATCCATGCCCAAGCAACAAGACCCGGCACACCCAATAATGATAAAGTATTACTTCCATTTCCAACCCTCGTGTGTTGAGTTGAGTGCTCGTTTTGCATAGAGCTCTGAGGTCGCGCACCCCTGTCCCCCCCTCCTGCCCCCTTCTTTGAGTCAGTTTTTGATTGCTTGGGGCATGACGGGCGTCATGGCCCCCGCCCCCCCCCCCAATGACGTAACGCTCCCCCCTCCAGTGTGCTCCGGGCACTGCCCCCCAGTGCGCTCCGAGCACTGCCGCTGTGCGCATTGGGATCCGCGTAGGAATCCGCATAGGAGTCTGGTCCGCAGTCGTCGTCGTCGTCGTCGTCGTCGTCGTCGTCGTCGTCGTCGTCGTCGTCGTCGTCGCTCGTGGCTTGTCGCTCGTCGCTGATAGTCGTCGTGCGCGCGAACGCGGCTGGAGCCTGTTTTTATGCCGGGCCGATGACGGCAATCATCTACAGGGGGGATGGAGGGGGTCGATGACGTCACGTTTCGCGCTGGCGGCGTTTGGGAATGCCTGGGAATGACGGAGGACGGGTAGCGCCAGCATGTCTGTGGCGATTTGCACCGCAATGCCTGTGTACACCACAGTGCCTGCGTGCACCACAGCGCCTGTGTACACCACCGCTTATGTGCACCACAGCAGCCGCGTGCAACACAGCGTCAGTTTGTGCCACCGTGCCTGCGGACACAACTGCTCTTGTGCACACCACAGCGCTTGCGTTCACCTCATCAGCCGTGTGCAACACAGCACCAGTATACACCACAATGCCTGCGTGCATTGCAGTGCGTGTGTACACCACGGTGCCTGTGTGCACCACATCAACCGTGTGCAACACAGCACCATTGTTGTATATAGAATGTGAGAACGAATCCGTATGACAAAATGGGGCGCTTTTGGATTCCACAGAAACGACATACCATAATCCTTATGGACAATGGAGCGCCGCTGGAATCTACGTGTCCTCCCGAGTCCGCGCGCATCACCTTAACTCCTCCCTTTGCGTCCAGGAGGTTCCAGCTAAATCGGCCGTCCGAGAACCAAGTGGACCGATTCGATCGACTATTCTGCGGTGCGCGCTGAGATGCGCACGTGCGCTGTAGCGCCAACCCGCACGACAGGGGGTAAGGATGATGATGATGAGGAGGAGGAGGAGGAGGAGGAAGAGGAGGAGGAGGAGGAAAAGGAGGAGGTGGAGGTGGAGGTGGAGAAGGAGGAGGAGGGAGGAGGGAAGAACGTCGCATTCGATTATCAACATTTTCGTGGCGTGGCTTCTAGTTGCCCACAGCAGATCCGCACGTACGTGCTCTTTCTGCCTGTCCTATGCACGCAGGCATTTTGGTGTACACCAGCGATGCGTTGCTCGCAAATGCTGTGCTGTAGACACGCGCTGTGGCGTGCACAGGCGCTGCGGTGCACGCAAGCATTGTGGTGTACACAGGCGCTGTGTTGCACATGGTAGCTGCGGTGTGCAATTGTACGCCGGCGCTGTAGTGTACGCAAGCATTGTGGTGTACACAGGCGCTGAGTCGCACACGGTTGTTGCGGTGTACGCAAGTGCTGTGGTAAACACGCGCGCTGTGGTGCACGCGAGCGTTGTAGTGTACACAGGTGCAGTGGGGCATATCGCAATCTACATGCTGCTCGCGTCGTCGACGTCGTCGTCGTCGTCGTGATCGTCGTCGTCGTGGTCGTCGTCGTCGTCGTCGTCGTCGTCGTCGTCGTCACTCGTCGCTCGTCGCGTCGCGCGCGCGGGCGCGGCTGCGGTGCCGGAGTCACACGGCGGGGGGGCGTTGCGTCATATCCCCCCCCTCGCCCCCCCCCCCCCCATGGCGCCCGTCATCGCCGAACATAAAGAAACGCGCTCTTTCGATGCCTCCCAGATGGGTAGATGGGGTCGAAGGATCGCTCCGCATCGCCGATGCATCGGCGATGCGGCTCGATGTGGAGCCCGAGTTTCCCCACGCCGACGTCGCCGATGCATCGCCGACGTCGCCGATGCATCGTTGATGCATCGCCGATGCATCGGCGATACATCGGTGATCCAGTGCGTTCCTCTGACCCCATCTACTAGGACCCCATCTAGGAGGCCTCTATTCGTCTGCCTCCTCCTGCGCTGCTCCCTGGGTTGCTGCGAACTGTGCAGCTGTCGCCTCTTTCGTGGGCTCCTGGGAGGCACGGCAGAGTCGGATAGTAAATGGACCATTTGAGTCCTCGCAGCTCCATGAGTGGTTGCGTACTGTGCAGGTGTCGCCACTCTTCGTGGGCTTCTGGGAGGCACGGCGGAGTCGGGGAGGAGAGCTCGCGGTGTTTGGGTGGCGGCGAGTTGCGCAATTGTCGCCACTTTGGTGGGCTCCTTGGAGGCACGGCGGAGCCAGGGAGTAGACTAACCATTTGGTGACCTCGCAGCTCTATCGTGGGCTCCTGGGAGTCTCGACTGAGTCGGGAAGTAAACGAACCATTTGAGACCGCGCAGCTCCTTGGGTGGCTGCGAACTGCGCAGGTGTCGACACTTTCGTGGGCTCCTGGGGGACACGGCAGAGTCGTATAGTAAACGAACCAGTTGAGACATCGCAGCTCCTTGGGTGCCTGCGAATTGCGCAACTCTCGCCACTCTTCGTTGGCTCCTGGGAGGCACGGCAGAGTCGGATAGTAAATGGACCAGTTGAGACCTCGCAGTTCCGTGGGTGGCTGCGCACTGCGCAATTGTCGCCACTGTCGTGGGCTCCTGGGAGGCACGGCGGAGTCGGGGAGTAGACGGACCATTTGAGCCCTTGCAGTTCTTGGAGGGCTGCGAACTGTGCAATTGTCGCCACTTTCGCTGTTTTCGAGGGAGGGGGAGAAGGGATGCAGGCGCCGTTGCAATATGTCATTCCACGTGGCGCTGAGTTCAACTGGCCCCGCTTTGCCAATCTCCCTGAGGAAGCTGCGTAATCGCAGGATGGCATCCGCTTGGCTGCCCCGATGCGCCCTTGTGGAAACGCAACACGCACCGTGTTCAAAACGTCTGTGTGCACACGCTGCGCGTTGGCTCGGCATGTGTTAGTCCACGTTCTGGCGGACGCATTGCGCCAGACGTGCGTGCCCAGTCTGCGTGGTGAGCTCCGCGTCCACACGCCACGTTGGTGCGTGCTGCGCATCGGGGGCAGCTGCGCACCCGCCACGTCGCCCCCTCGCCGCCCTCGCCGCCTCCCTCGTGGCGCCCTCGGCCGCCGCCCCTGCGCGCCCGCGGGCGCGCACAAGGCGAATCCTGCCGAGGGCGTGGTCGACGATGCCCTTTTTCCGCCAGATCGACCAGCTCGAGGGCATCCCGGTGGCTCCTCCCCGTCCCGATCGCTCCCGCCCCCTCCCGCCTTTCTCCCTTCCGGTGCTGTTGGAGATTATGGCCATCAACGGAACGCGCAATGGTCGCCAACGCTTCGCCTCAGTCGTACATGGCGACGCGCGTCGCCCCCGTAGGGCGGGCGCGGTTGCTTCGCAGATTGCGCTTCGTTGCCCCCTGCGCGTCGAAAACCTGGCTGCCAGAGCGGCCAGCAGCAGTCCGAGGGGGTAGCCCGTCGCGAGCGCGCACCGTCACCCCCCCCAGCCCGAGAAGCGCGCGCCGCCCCCCCCCCCCCCCCAAGAAGCAAAGCTGACCGGGACGAGCGGCGGCGACGAGGGGCCTGGATTCAGCTTCGCTCCGGGGGGGAAAGGGGGGGAATGCAGGACGCATGGGCGTCGCCCGAATAATCATGATGATGATGATGATGATGATGATGATGATGATGATGATGATGATGATGCTGATGCTGATGCTGATGCTGATGCTGATGCTGATGCTGATGCTGATGCTGATGCTGATGCTGATGCTGATGATGATGATGATGATGATGGTGGTGGTGGTGGTGATGATGATGATCTTGATGATGATCTTGATGATGATGATGATGATGACATTGATGATGATGGTGATGCTGGTGATGATGATGCTGTTCTTGACGATGATAATGGTACCACGATGATACTGTAGATTTTGATGATGCTGATGGTTGCCATGATGTTCATGGCGATGTTGATTAGGACGATGACGATGAGCATAGTCATTATGAGCACCACAACCACCATGAGCATGGCCGTTATTTTCAACAACCCCGTCTCTCCTTCCCTTCCACGCCCTTCTACCTCGTCCCTCGTCTGTCAATCTTCTCGCCACTGGCGCCGTGGAGGAGTAGGCGGAGGAATCCCCAAGGTGGGAAAACCACTTCAGGAGAGGCCCCTCGAATGCTCGGAATGAGTCCCAGGGGCAGTTTTTTGTCACGTGCGCAGAGACGTCGTTTGAAGGAGAGCGTGTGGTCGACGCACCAGGAGGGAACACTGTGAGGCACGCGAGTGGTACTCATGTGGTTGCGTTGGCAATAGCAGCCAGTGAACTGGCAGGTAACACAAACAGACTTCTGGAGGGTTCGGGAGTTTTCGGATCGGGGGCAGAAGGCATGTATTCCCTTGCCGTTTACAGCTGCTCGTCGCAGTGGCAGTGGCATGAACAGTCGAACCAGCTTTGGTCGGGGTGGTAGTGGTGCTGGTACTGGGGGGGGGCAGAACAGAACAGGGAAGATGGGAGACACCCGGCGGGTGCCAGTGGCACGCAAGGCCGCAGAATATCAGGCTGTGGCAGACATGTCTGCCCAGCTCCACCATCGTCTCGCTGCCGCGGCCGGCGTTTGGGGGGAGCCTGGTAGCTCCAGGCAAGTGAGGGGCATCGGAGGGGCTTTGAAGGTGCTCCCCGCCTCTGCTCCTGCGAGCGCCGTCGAAGTCGAGCGCGTACTCCTCGCGTGCGCGGCTTTCGGCCCACTTATCCAATCCCGTCGGTATCGCCCCCCCTCCCCAAGCAGTGGCGAAGCGTCCTGGCTTGCATATAGGCCCACCGGAGAATATGATGAAAACTGTTTGTGATCTGCACTTATATCTACAGATCTAAGGCCCGCGCCCTCTGAGAAGCAGGGGTGCTTCTAGGACCCTAGGAAGCCTTCCCACCTCCATCTACCCCGTTGTGCGCCGCCAAGTCGACGAGGCAGCGACCCCGCCGCAGACGTGCGAGCTTGAACGCCACCAGGGACCAATAACCGGCCAACATGGGACGATCTGGCGATCGAAAAACCGCCGATCGCTCAAGACTGAGCGATCCACGCGGTGTCAGAAACCAACGCCGAAGTCGACACGACACGAAATTGCCGTACTGGCCGGACTGGGCCCTCTCTGGCGGCGCCTCCAGCGCCCCCCCCCCGGCGCGCTCCGCGCGACAGGGAGGGGGGCCCAGCGCCGATCCCAGAAATCAGCGCGGACCTGCCACCGTGACACTCTGCACAGTTTGTTGCTCCTCCAAACAGTGGAGTGTGACCCCTTCTGCCAGGGCGCCCCACGACGTCACTTCTCTTGGGGACGGCAGGCGGGCCCCCCAAACACACCCGGCGCCTCGGCCTCTTTTTCGACAGCGCGTGCCCCAGACCTCTCGACCAGGGTGGTTGTTGGTTGCTGCACGGTCCTGAGGCCCCCAGGGAGGGCCCCGCTTGGCGACCCTGAGGCGCCCGCGTGGAACCGCAGCATGTGGCGTGTGCAGAACGTCCGTCTGGACACTCTGGACACTCTGCGTGCTGATTCGGTGCGTCTTGGCCCACGTCTTGGCGAGCGCGCCGCGCCAGTCCTGCGTTTTCGGTCTGCGGGTGGAGCTCCGTCTCAGCACGCTGCGTGTTGCGTGTTGCGTATCCTCCTCCTCCTCCTCCTCCTCCTCCTCCTCCTCCTCCTCCTCCTCCTCCTCCTCCCTCCAGGACGGGCAGCGGCACGGGCATCTCTTCGAAGACTGACAGGACACACTTCAGCTAAGGTGCCATGGGTGCGGTCAGAGTCGCCTTGCGGAACATGCTACCAGCATCCGCACGTGCACCGGCGACATGCTGTAGAGAATGGTTGGTTGGATGGGCTCTGGCGGCGGCTGGTCATTATCATGCAGCCACTTTTCAGACAGGTGAGAGCGTCAGCCGATTTTGAGGCTCCCAAGTTTTCAACTGAACGTGGCAAAGAAGGTCACCACGTGCCATCTTGTGCTCTGATCCTTGGGGCGCCCAGTCTGCAGAGGGGCCTGGCACGATGAAAACAACTCCCCCTCGTTTGTTTTGTGTTTTCGAGACTCGGGTGCCAATTTGTTTTGTGTTCCTCAGCGGTCCCGGCGCGGGCGCGCCGCCCCTGGAGCGCTCCGCACGTCAAGGATGAGGGGGGGGGGGATCCAGCGCCGATCCAAGAAATCGCGCGGGCATCCAAGAACTTACACTCAGCCACGCGCAGAGGGGGGCAGGGGGGAGGGGGGAAGGCTTCTTAGAAGCACCCCTGATTCTCAGAGATCGAGGGCCTTATCTCTAGATGTAAGGCCCGCGCCTTCCAAAAGGCAGCCTCCTTCTAAGAAGCTTTCCCCCTCCCCGTACCCCCCCGTGTGCGTGCCGCCAATATCCGTCGGTCTTTGAAAATTGCATACTTCTGGATCCCCAGGTCCCAGTCTAGTTTAGGCGCCGTCCACCTTCACTCATCGAGTACTTTTTGCCTTGTCCTCCCTCTTCAGGGGGCGGGCGGAAGCCCAATCTACTTCCAAGACCTTTCTGCTTCACGCTTCTACCCGCTTCACCCGACCGACGGGTATGCCGTCTTCTGTTCACCCAGACGTGGCAGGCGCGGCCTCCTGCGGAGGAGCAGGACGCCCCCAGCGCACAGGCCAAGATTCACCCCGGGGGGGGCACTCCCGTCAGGGGCAGCGCTGGGGGTCGGGTCGGGCTCAGCGGGGGGATGCCTCGATCCTCCATCGCCCCCCTGGATCGCCGAGAGGTGCCGATAGCGCACCCCGCCCAGGAACGTGGGGGTTCGCTATCGGGGGCCTATCGCCGATCTGTCGGCGATTCATCGCCGACTCCAGCTCGACGTTGCCGCCCTGAGCCGGTCCCCCCTGTCGCCCCCCCTCCCATTCCTGTTGAGCGCACGGGCGAGATCTACCGGGAGGGACCCCCAGAAGTTCGCACCCTGCCTTCGACATTCAGCGGCGCCGAGCGGCAGAACGCGAGAGGCTGTCCAGCAGGGCCCCGTCTGCACATGCCGTCTGCACATGCCGTTGTGCCAAACGCTACGCCGTACTAGCCCAAATTAGGATTTGGACCTTGACCAGCGTGGTTTCAAGCATTACTTTTGAAGCCCGCCGTCCATGGGTCTCCAATCTGTAATTTTTCACGTGTATTGCACGTAGGCATGCTTTGTTTTGGTCTCAGGTGATCAACATACACCTCTGGTTCGACCGCAAGCTCCTCAATGTCAACCATCTCTGCTTTAGCCGCAGCCCCTTGCTCTCCGTGTACGCCGACATGAGCACCTGCTGCAAGGATGGGGCCGTTCAAGAGTGCCTCCCGTGGGCTACGGGTTCTGGTCGGTGCTTGAGGTGCTTTGCCTTCCGTTCCTCGGGTCAGCGCCCAATGTCTTCACCTCTGCGTGCCCTCTCACAACAGAGAGGGGGAGGTGGAGCAGGGGAAGAGGAGGAGGCACAGGAGAAGGAGGGACATGGGTCGGGGAAGTACAGGCTTTGCCACCCCCACACACAGGGAAACGAAGGGGGGAGGCAACCGAAGCACGTGTGGCGAATCAGGAGCTCGTGTTCATTGAACATCATGCGCCGCATTTTCTGATGTTTGCGATTTCCCCCCACCGCCCCTGCTTCCCTGCTTCCCGAATTCATCGCTGCGGCGGACTGTCTCGATTCCCGAGGTCGCTCGCCTGCTAAGTCTGCGCAAGCGATTACCCCGTGGCATCGCTCGGACGTGTGCGTTTTTCCTCGCCGATGGCCTTCGAGGAGCATCCTCCACCATCGGGCCAAAAAGGAAGCACGAAGCTGAAACATGCACGGGGAATGGACGTCCCAGCGATGGCGAGACCCCGTCCGCGCGGGTTGTTCAGGGTTTTGTGCATCAGCCTTCACAGCAGTTGATCCGTGCGGTCAGCGGCCAATCTCGTCACCGAAGGCTTGAACACCCCGCCAGTGCTCAACAGTGCGCTCGTGCAAAGGACGAATAGATCCTGGCGGCGGACTCAGCCGTATGCACTGGCGGATGCCGCAAGGCAGGTGGGACGACGGAGGGGGGAGCTCCTGTAGATGGACAGACAAAAGTGGAACCCTTGACCCCGCCCCACCCCCCTCCCTCCAGATTCAAAGTTGGTCCCAGGCACTCGGCAGCACAGGCATTAGAGGACAGAAGAAGTGGAACCTCCAGGGCTTCCGCGAGGCACGACCCAACTTCGAATCTGGGGGGAAGTGGTGGGGGCGAACACGGGTTTGAACCTGAAGGGGTTCTACTTGTTTGTCCTTTCAGACTCCATGTGGGTCAACACCACAGGATCGCTGGGAACTGACAAGAGCGAGGAGCAGGAGAAGGACCGGGCCTCATGCCTGGCTAGAGCTATGATGGGCCTTGGGATGGCATACAGACAGACCCTCCTGGTGTCGGCCAGGAGGGCGCATGTTCATACATCCCGCTGGGGTCCAAGATGGCTCTGGCCTGGATCGGCGTTGGTGTGTAGTTCTATAAATAAACATTCACCTCTCTACCCATCTCCCTACATACCTACATACATGCGTACATGCGTGCATACACAGAAACACACACAAACGCATATATATACACCCTCACGCACACATACATACATACATACATACATACATACATCTATACATCCATACATCCATACATCCATACATACATACATACGTACGTACGTACGTACATACATACATACATGCATGCATGTATGTATGTATGCATACATACATACATACCCACATACATGCATGCACACACATACACATACACATACACATACACATACACACACATACACATACACATACACATACACATACACATATACATACATACATGCATGCAGCCATACATACATACAGCCATACACACATACATACATACATACATACATACATACATACATACATACATACATACATGCATGCATACATACGTACATACATACATACATACATGCATATATACATACATACGTACGTACATACATACATACACACATACATGCATACATACACACATACATACATACATACATGCATGCATGCATGCATGCATGCATGCATACATACATCCATGCCTAACATAACATTCCATAACATACCTAAGTCAGGGTGAGGGGGCCGAACGGTCATTCACTGTCCCTGGGTGCGTGGCTGAAGTGGAATTCTGCGGTGCGGATTCTCGTTGTTGTTGTTGTTGTTGTTGTTGTTTGTTGTTGTTGTTGTTGTTGTTGTTGGTGTTGTTGTTGTTGTTGTTGTTGTTGTTGAACATTATTAATTCTAAAGAATAATTATTGTTGGGGCCCCTGGTGCACGGCCCCCCTGCGCCGCCTAGGCCGCAGCTACATTTTCATCATTTTCGTGAGGAAGCCTCAGGTAATTCGATGTGATCAAGATCCGGTTGTTTTGTTCCCCCCCGCTTTCCCTTGCAAAAAACACTATAAAATGACATTTCTTGTTCTAATATAATCAAATTTCAAGAATCCCTTGCAAAAAATAAGGTAAAGTGGACATTCGCGCGCGCAAGACGAAATCCTTCCAAAACCTTAGTGTTCGCAGCGATTTTAACATAAAAACATCAAAAAACCAATGGTTTTTCAACAAAAAACTGTCAAAATCTCATCCCGCGCGCTCTTGCGGATTCGTAGGAAACCCAACACTTTTTAAACATTTCTGTCAAACGGGCTTTTGCGAGCAACTTTTTCGAACTTCTGCGACAACGGTTGCGCACCTGCCAGGGCCATCATCCCTGTCAAATAATACCATGCGGGACACATTCGTTTTTTCTTCGCGCGCGCACGCCGAAATCTCCAAAAACCATTGGGCTTCTTAAGAATTTTAGCACCGCGCATCATAAAATCACACGAATCGCACCGTAGGTCCTCGAAAAACACCTGCACGACTTTTCAAAATTTCTACCCGCGCGCGCTGTCCGAATCCTAAAAAAACCATATGCATCATATGCAACAGATGTTCTGTGGAAGGCTTAACAACTTCTGTGGGTTAACAAGGCTTAACAACTTCTGTGGGTGTACGAACGTAGGCTTAACAACTTCTGTGGGTGTGTACTCCACGCCAGTGTAGTAGCCACGGTCGTCCGCAGGCCACGAAGTGAAGTGTCCGAACGTCATAGGGCGGGAAGCTGGGTGTGGGTGGTGGCGAAGAGTCGTGTGGATATTTGGTAGAGCTTGCACTGCCCCCCCACAAAGTGGGGGTATTGGCTGGCGTCGCATGAAAACCCTGGCACTGGTGAGAACACTGAGCGTTCGGGTAAAGTGATTGTTGTTGTTGTTGTTGTTGTTTGTTGTTTGTTGTTTGTTGTTTGTTGTTTGTTGTTTGTTGTTTGTTGTTGTTGTTGTTTGTTGTCGTCGTTCCACCCGCAACCGGCCCCGCGACCCACCCGAGACCCAACCCGCGACCCACCCCGCGACCCACCCGCGACCTACCCGCGGCCCACCCGCGACCCACCCCGCGACCCACCCCGCGACCCACCCCGCGACCCACCCCGCGACCCACCCCGCGACCCACCCCGCGACCCGCCCGCGGCCAACCCCGCGACCCACCCGCGACCCGCCCGCGACCCACCCGCGACCCACCCGCGACCCACCCGCGACCCACCCCGCGACCCACCCGCGACCCACCTTCGACCCAACCACGTTCAAGGTAGAAACCACCATTTTCGGCGCTTGCGGCGGGCTTTTTTTGCATTCCTTCCAGGTGGAGAGCCCGCGACCCACCCCGTGACCAACTCGCGACCAACCCGCGACCCAAACCGCGTTCAGGGTACAAACCACATTTTTCGGCGCTTGCGGCGGGCATCTTCTGCATTCGTTTCAGGTGGAGAGCCCGCGGCCCACCCGCGACCACGTTCAGGGCACAAACCGCATTTTTCGGCGCCTGCGGCGGGCATCTTTTGCATTCGTTCCCGGTGGAGAACCCGCGGCCCACCCGCGACCCAAACCACGTTCAGTGTACAAACCTTTTTTTGTTGGCGTCTGCGGCGGGCTGCTTTTGCATTCCTTCCAGGTGGAGGTGGAGAGCCCGCGACCCACCCGCGACCTAAACCACGTTCACTGAACAAACGAATGCCGCACAAACGCGGCGGCGGATTTTTGCATGCCGTCTGAGCCCGCAAGGACCTCTTCAAGCACCGCGCATCCACACCAGCCCGTCCAGCAACTTTGCACTGGCGAGTTGCCTTGATCAGAGAAGGCGGGGAGCATAAAGTGGAACAAAAGATTGCGTTGCGTGAGGAGTAAACAGGGGACGAGGAGCGGAAGAAGAGAGGATGTAAGGAGACTGAAGGACTGATGATGGACGACAATGGGAGGACGATGATGGAGGCCGATGAGGGGGAGGACGACAATGGGAGGACGATGATAAGAGGAGGAGGACGAGGTGGAGGAGGAGGATGACGATGACGATGAGGACGAGGACGAGGAAGAGGAGGAGGAGGAGGAGGAGGAGGAAGAAGAGGAGGAGGAGGAGGAGGAGGAGGAGGAGGAGAGCGCCATCGACAAGGAAGGTGGGGGCCACGAGGTCCGCCGGCTCGACAACGCCCGCGTCGCCAGCGCCCGCCCCCTCACTCTTATTCGCAATTGCGGGGTGCTACATATCTACATAAACACATACAGCAACACGTCCACGCATACGTACATACGTACATACATGCATGCATGCATCCATACATACGAAAGAGCGTGTTCTACCGCTGCTGGCGGAAAACCCGGGGGTCACTGGGGGTTCCCAACCCGTCCCCCCCCCGCCTCGAAAACCGGGGGGGGGGTCACTACTGGTTCGAACCCCTCCCCCCCCCCTTCCCAGTCCATCATGAAAAGGGGGGGGGGTCATTACCGTTTCGAGCCCCTCCCCCCCCCTCGAAAATCGGGGGGGTGGGGGGTCACTACCTGTTCGAACCCCCCCCCCGCCTCGCCGCCGGCAAACGGTCCCCGCTCCTCGGGACAGTTGGACAATGGTGGGGATGCTGACTGGGACAATGGTGGGAATGGTGGTGGTGGGGACAGTGGGACAGTGGTGCGGACAGTGTTTGGGACAGTGGTGGTGGGGACAGTGGTGAGGGGACAGCGGGACCCTGGTGGGGACAGTGGGACAGTGGTGGGGACGGTAGTGGTTGGGACAGTGGTGAAGGCGGTGGTGAGGACAGTAACGGGACAGTAATTAGTACAGTGGGGAAATTGGTGGGGACAGTGGGGACAGTGGGACAGTGATGGGGACAGTGGGGACGGTGGGACAGCACCAGCGGCGGGGGACAGTGGAGCAGTGGTGGCTACAGTGGGGACAGTGGGACAGTGGTGGGGACCGTGGGGAAAGTGGGGAGAGTGGGACCGTGGTGGGACAATGGTGGGGAGAGTGGGGACAGTGAGACACTGGTGGGGGCACTGGTGGGGACAACGGGGACAATGGTGGTAACAGTGGGGACAGTGGGACAGTGGTGGGGACGGTGGTGGTGGGGACAGTGGTGTGGGGACAGTGGGAATGTGGTGGAAACAGTGAGACAGTGGAGGGTACAGTGGTGGTGGGGACAGTAGTGAGGGCGGTGGCAGTGGTGGGGGCACTGGTGGGGACAGTGGGGACGGTGGTGGGAACAGTGGGGACAGTGGTGGTGAGGACAGTGGTGCTGGGGACAGCAGTGGGGGATGTGGTACGGATGGTGGTAGGGACCCGGGTGTCGTTTGCTGGCGGTGAGCGTGCGGGGGGGGGAGGGGTTCGAACCGGTAGTGACCCCCCAGGTTTTCTGGGAAGGGGGGGGGAGGGGTTCGAACCAGTAGTGACCCCCCCCTTGGTTTTCGGGAGGGGGGGAGGTTCGAACCGTGACCCCCCCGGTTTTCGGGAAGGGAAAGGGGGGGGGGCGTTCGAACTGGTAGTGACCCCCCCGGTTTTTGGGGGGGAAGGGGGGAGAAGGGGGGTTCGAACCGGTGGTGACCTCCCCTCCGGTGTTCGAGAGTGGGGACGTGTTCGAACCGGTAGTGACCCCCCTCCTTTTCGGGGGGGGGGGGGGGTCGAACCGGTAGTGACCCCCCCCGGTTTTCCGGAGGGGGGGGGGGGGGGGGTTCGAACCTGTAGTGACCCCCCCCCGGTTTTCCGGAGAGGGGGGGAGGGGGGGGGTTAGGGGGAGAGGGGGGGTTTGGCCGGGATGGAGGGGGGGGGGGTTCGGCAGAGGAGGGGGGATTTTCGAAGGAGGGGGGGGGGGGACCCCCGGGTTCCGGAGGAAGAGGGGGGGAATTGTCCAGAGTAAAGCGGCGGTGGATCACGCTCTCGCATACATACACACATACATTCATGCATGCATGCACACCTCCACATACAAATACATACACTGGACATACACACATGCATACATACATTCATGCATACATAATCACGCATTGCATGCATACGTATACATATTTATATACGGCTCCTGCGCAGGCAGGGGGCGCTGCGGAGTCGCCCAAGCGCACAGAAGGAACCTCGGCCCTGCATATCCAGCGCCTTGGCATCGCTCGGACGTGTTTTTTTCCACAGCTAGGACCATCGAGGAGCATCCTGGATCATCTTTCAAAAAATAAGCGTACGAAGCGGAAACATGCACGGGGAATAGACCTCCGAGCGATGGCAAGGCGCGCGTGTCCTGCCAGACGCGGGAAGTCATGTGGAGGCGAGGGCTCCTACATCGCGCGAGAGCTCTCGCAGTGGGCTGGAAGGAGGCCATTAGAATATGGTGCCTTCCCACACGGCAGTCTGCCATAGTCGTTCCGATCAAAAATTTACTCAAAAACATATTTGAATCTGTAGCAACATACATACAACAGCCAAAAATAATGAGAGAGCGAGAGAAGCATGGAGAACGGGGAATCTTTCAGTCTACGTTACATGTATCTGAGGAGCGCCAATCTCTTGGTTTGTCAGCGTCCCCGTGCCGAGGCAACTAATATGGTCGGTGCCCGCACCAGTCGCCGTGAAAAAAAACAAGGGGCCTTCGACCGAGAGGGGGCCCCGATGTTTCGCCGCTCTCGGGCTCGAGTTCCAGGGCCCGCTTCCCTCGGGATCCCTTTCTTTTTTTGCTGCTCGTACGGTCGCGAAGTATTGTCGAGAATATGATCAAGACATCTTCTCCCGAACAGCTGGGCAGCGTTTCTTAACCGCATTGCCAGAACATTGGCCCAGTTTTGTGAGTGCGTTCGCCGTTTAGCGTCAACAACAGAAGTTGGTTCAGGCTGTTTTAAAGAAATTTCCAGCAAGCTGGCCCTGATTTCCGACATGATCGGTTTCTTCATCACATGTTCGGTTGTAGCTCTCGGAGGAGAGCGTTTGACACTGCCCGTAGCCGTTGACCCGCGTCAATTCGCTTTCGGCAGCCAGTGGCCCGTCTGCTGCTATCGATCGGGTTCAGGAGCGTTGCGCCCACAAGTGCAGCAAGACCATGCCGTATACAAACGTTTGTTAAGGTGTGGTTCAAGTGGTCTGGAGATGTAGATGGCACCGCTTGGCACCACCCTCCGTGCTTCTAGGCACACGGCACACGCCAGGTTGGGAAAACGCTGCACTGACCAGCAGTCATCCGCCAGTATGGAAAGGCGGCCAGCCCCGGGCGTTGATCCCTGGGGCTAGCGGGCCTTCCAGCCTGGCTTGCCCACCAGCATTTTGTAGAGCCGCGCCTCCATGGGAAGTTGGTGGACGGGCGGGCCTGGGTTGTGTTCAAAGAGCTCGCTCTCAGACGCCCTCTTCCTGTAGGCTTCTCTTTGAACGGACCGCCGATGTTCGAGCCATCGGTGGGAAGCGAGACGGGAGCCGTCTCCCTCTTCGGTCCCCAGCTGTGGCACTGAGCCGTCCGTGACTCATGCTGGCCTTTACGAGCCGGCCATCAACCTGAGAGAGAAGAGATGTGTAAGGATGAGCGATTTTCCAAGCTCACCCTCGCATCCCTCCCCTTCGGCCCATCCTGGGCTGCTCCTGCTGGCCGCGCCCCGCTCGCAGAGTGTCGACATGGCCCTCCAAGGCCCTTGCATCCTTATCGTGCATCATTATTCCACGGGCTGGCTAAAGGTCCAGCTGATGCTGAGTCCAGGCTCTCGGGGGGGTTGCACATCGTGGGCCTCCAACTGGACTTGGCCTCCCTCTCGTGCAACGCTCGGTCCAGCTGGAATGATTCCCGTCTGACCCGAGGCGCTTCATCTGGTGGGCTTTCGGCTGGGCTTATAGCTTCTCAGCCTCTCCCGACTGGCCCTTGTCCGAGGCTCGTGCTTCCTCCGAGTCCTCCGCAGGAGTATTACGACGAAGACAAGTCGATGCTGGAGCTCGTCTTCGCGCCGTGCTCGCCCCTCGCTGGTGGAAGTGTCAACTGGATCGCCAAGTCTGACGAGGACTGACTCGCCTGCGGTTCGGAGGGTCACCCGCACTTGACGGCCCCACCTGTCCCGCCCCCTCCTCGCATCATGTTTGACTTCATACACCTTCAAATCTCCCCAGCAGGCCTCGCCGACCTGACAATCAGTCGGCTGTTTTTTTTGTGCGCGAGGGCACTGAACTGGAGAGAAGGGATGAAGTAAACAAGGGCCCTTGGGGCCTCTGGGCACACCCAGCGGCCTCAGAATGCTAAACTGGACCTTGCGGCCTTCGTCATTCCCCCCCTCATGCTGATTACCCGCGCGGCCCAGTCATGCCATCCCGCACGTCGTGGCGGGCACGCCACGTTCCCCCAAAAGGGGCGCGACTCGCGACGGACACCAGCAGGGGCAGACGTCACGACAGGGGCGGCCCGGCCCGCCCCGTCCCCAGCAGCACAGCGTGTTCCTATCCAGCACGTCGTACGCCCTCATGTTTGGGGCACGCCTCTGCGCGGGAAACACATCGCAGCCGTTTCGGGCCCGTTTTGCTTCAGGATGGGGGAAGTGGCCGTTATGAGAGGGAGGCTATATTCGGTTCCGTCGTTTCGATGATGCGCGCCGATGTCTGCTCCCAGCATCGATCGAATGACTCCCTCCTCTACGGAGGGCTGCTCTACCCGTCGACTCGATGATTTCGCTGCGTTTCGATCAATCCATGACCGAGGTAGCCTTTCGGATAGCCCCAGGGGTGGGAAGAGGACCTAGAAGCCTCCAGCGTACTCGAACAAACCGATACCGCTGGTTTCCTCGGTGCTTAGAAGTAACGGGACACTTACGACCCAATATGAGATCCATGGCATGCCCGACAACGCGGCTACTATTGAAACGTGCCAGATCTATGCTACTCGCCTCGGAGAGGGAGTCTTCAGCAACCCCGTTGGGAGGCACCGCTGGCCGATGACTAGCAGAGGAGGGAGAGCGCGTTCTTATCTCCTGGCGTAAACGGGCGTGGCCAGGCGGGGGAGGGGGAGAAGGGGCCTGTCGCAATCAATTCGCGCCGGCGCCGTCTGGGAACATTTTGGAATGGCCGCCTTCCCAGGCAGCGCTGGCGCGAATCGTGACGTGACCAGGGATGGGGGGTGGAAGGGGGGGGAGGAGGGGGAGCTGGGCTTGTCACGGGCGTTACGGCGAAGAGTAAAGCGAATGAGTTCGAGGAGGAGGAGGAGGAAGTTACAGCTTAAGAGGGGACCCCTGGCTGCAACGGACCTAGTTATAACGATTTCCCAGCTCTCCAACCCCAGGGCCGTCTTCTCAGGAAGGTGACGAGGCCTGTACGATTTTCCTTTAACAGTGTGCTGTGCTTGTACGGAACACTGTCTGCCGAGTAACCCAGTCACCCAGGAGGAGGTTACAGTTACCAACTGCCTGAAGGACCTCCCCAAATTTGGGAGGTCCCAAATATCGAGTGTTTTATGGCGTTCGGCCAATCCCGCGAAGGCGCCTGGGTTGTGGGTCATAGGCTTCTAGGATGTTCGTAGGGATGTCGCGGGAAGCTTCTGGGGAGCCTCTTGGGGACCATTCTGAAGCCTCCAGGGGGCTGTGTTGGGGCCTCTTGGAGCGTCTTGAGGGACTCTCGGGGGTCTCTTGGGGGCCTCGTTGGGCCTCTCGGAGGCCTCTTGGGGCTTCCCGGGGACATCTTGGGGCGGACGGCTCGGATTTTCCGTTCGTGTTCCCCCTCTTGGGCCCCTTTGAGGGCCGTTTGGGGCCCTCTTGGACAGTCTTGGGGCCTTGTTGGGCCATCTTGGTGCCCTCTTGGGGGCCTCTTGAGCCATCTTGGGGCAGTCTTGGGGGCGGTCTCGGAGGCTTCTTGGGCGTCTTGGGGCCGAAAAAGTCACGCGAGACGCCGCGGAAAGCCTGAGAAGATTTGTGAACTTAGGATCCGGGCCCCTTGCAGAATCGTCAGGGTTGAGGGCTGAGGCTTCAGGGATTAGGGCAAGGACCTGAGGACACTCCAACTCGTGCCTCAAGGACACGGTGGCGGTTTTGGGACACACATACCCGTATCACAATTACAATACCGAATTTGATCCTGAGCAGAGCTTTACCCCCGCCGTTCCCGTCGCGACAACGCAAGCTGCCCCTCCCCATCGAGTGAACTGAAGGGCCCCCGACGGCCCACTCACAGGCGCCCCGCCTTGAAGACGTGGTTGTCGTAGAATTTGAAAGGCGGAAGAGCGCACAGCGGGAAGTCCCAGGAGCCGACTGGCGCAGCACGCAACCCATGCGCTGCCCCTCCGGGAAGAGGAGGAGGAGCAGGAGGAGGAAGACGAGGAGGAGGAGGAGGGCCAGCCGCACGGAGGCCGCCGAGGCTGCCAGAGCTCCTTGCGGGCCGTCTTGGGGCCTTGTTGGGCAGTGTGGGGGTTCTCTTGGACTTCCGATGCGACTTTGGTTGCCTCTTGGGCGGTCTCGGAAGCTCGGGAGACCGAATAACCGATCACCCCTAAAACCATACAACATATTTCAAATTGAGGCAATGTGCGTTGCGTTTGGAGGGTCTCTTTGCAGGCGTGTCCTGGGTGTGTAGGGGGCTAGGAACGCACACCACACTTATTCTTATATTTTGATTTCCCGGACCACGCCAACAAAACAATCGGCGCTCCTGGATCCCTCGTCCCCCGGGCCGTGCGAAGGGATCCATGGGCTTTCCGGGCCTCCTAAATGTCCTTGCTGGGCCTAGCCAGCGGGCCCAAAGCGGTCAGCAGGGTGGCTACACGGCCAGCCCCGCGAGAGCTCCAATCGGCACCGGCACCAGACACCGACCAGGCGCCAGAAGCAGGCCCAGCGAGCACTCGCCAGGAGGCCTCTCCGAGTGCAGCAACCATTGACATCCTGTGGTTTCCGTGTGAGTTTTGGATTCTCGTTTTTGGGGTCTCCCAGGCGTCCGAGACCTCCAACGAGGCCCCGAACGCCTCCCCAGAGCAAGCCAGAAAGGGCCTGCAGACACTCTAAGACAGCCCCAAAACGTTACAACAGGACCGCTTGAAGCATTCCAAATCGTAGCCTGGTCGTTGAGGAAGACCGTGGAAGCCCCCAAAGGCCCCCAGAAATCGCCGAGGAGGCTTCCATAAGCCCCCAACAAGCCACGAATCAAGTATTCGTGAGGCCCCCAATCCAAGGAGAGACCGACGCAACAAAATCTGAGGAGGGAAAGGCTTCGCAGGGTAAGGCGAGAACGAAGAGAAACTCAGAGGGTAGCAGAAGGAACACCATATTCCAACGACGGCAACACTGGCAACAGGGATATATCGTTGTTCTTTACGCAGTTACCTCTCAAGATCGTTCCGCCATCGAGGCAGACATGGAAGGACCAAGGTGCATGCCAAGAAGCGCCAGCGCAGCCTTGTATACACATATATATATATATATATATATACAATATGTTATGTCGTTCTACATGTGTATAACCAGATGCACTGTCAAGCGGCGAATGGCTTTGCCAGCGGAAGATCTATTCGACTTCTCCTGGCCATCGAAGTTGCGCTGCATCGCCGATGCATCGGCGGTGCGTCGCGATCCTCTGGCCGCACCCTCTCCGGCCCCATGACGTGCGGCCTCCATTTCTCCCAGAGGCACCTGGAGGTCTCCAGAGGGGTCCAGAAAAGGCAAACAGCCCAGACGAGAAGCTGGATCCTGAACGGCCTCTCCTCCCCTTCCCCCTTGGCGATATGCAGAATGATCGCAAACTGCCTAGACATGGATTTTTAAAGGTCTGGACGGGTTACTGGTGCTATGATGTAATTCTTGGGCGGTTAAATTTCGACTCGACGCTGGTACATCCGTGGTCGGAAATTGATTTAATCAGGTTCAATCCCGTTTAATCTGGCTTGATCTTGTCCGATCAGGTTCAATTTCTTTCAGATTGGTTTAATCCCAGGTTTTATCCAGATTACTTCGGCTCAGTGTTTTTTTTTAAGCGGGCTTGGCTTTTAATCATGCTGACGAAGACTTTCCTCCAGGCGTGGCCCCCTAACTTGGGTCCGCTGCAGTCTGGCGCGCGGAGCGCGCCAGCGGCGTCGCCAGTGGCGCCGCCAGGGTGGGGGGGGGGGGGCAGGTGCCGAACCCAGGGATCCGCGCTGACCTCCGCAGGTTTATGCCGATGTAGTTGTCTCGTCGCCTTCGCCCTTTGACAATGGCAGGAGATCGTCGAGGCGGCCATGAAGGACTCGATGCGCGGTGGCTTCCTCGATCCTCCTCCCATGGAAGTTCGATCCCCGATTGCCTCGCCTTCGCCCCTGGCGGTGGCGGTTGCCGCAGGAGATCGTCGAGGCGACCATGACGGAGCTGGAGCGGCTCTTCCCCACCGAGATCGGCTCGCACCTGCCAGGAGGAGGAGCTCGCCGCCCCGCTGGCGTCGTCGTCCTCGTCGTGTGCCGCCGGCGTCGGAGGAGCACGCGCAGGAGCAGGAGCAGAAGGAGGGGGGAGGAGAGGGGGAAGGGCGAGAGGAGGAGGAGGAGGAGGAGGAGGCAGGGTGGATGGGCGAGGGGCGGTGGAGGGGGAGGGGCGATGGGAGGGTGATGGGGCGAGATGGGCGAGCAGGGGGGGAAGGGGTGAGGGAGGGATGGGGAAGCAGGGCGGACAGAGGAGAGAACCTCACCACGGGGCCCTCGGCTGGAGCCCCCCATCCCTTTCAAGAGTCCAAGGGGCGCCCGTGGACTCTAGGGATTTTGACTCCCTTCGGGATCTGGTTTGGTGCGGCTCTTGAGGGGTTCGGGCTCTTGGGGGGCCCTGAGTACTCCGCCCTTGTTCTAGCTATCTGGGCAGTCCTCCTTAATAATGTGTGTATATATATATGTATACAAATATGTGTGTGGCTGCGCTCGGAGGGGTGGGCAGAGGAGAGAGAGAGAGAGAGAGAGGCTCTGGGACCTGGGATCTCCAAGTGGTGCAGTGACCACACCGTGTGGTGAGTCATTGGGACATCGGGGTGACCGCACGGTCTCGGGACTTGTGTCGGTCTCTGAGGATCTTCGGGCGACTGCGGTCTCCAAGACCCTGCGGTGACGGACCGTGCGGTGAGGCCCTTGGAGCAACTCGAGGTCACCGCAAGGTCCGTCGCCGCACGGTCTCGGGACCCCCAACCCAGACCCCGGACAGCTGTGAACTGTTCGTGACGTCGACCCCCAGAGGCCTCGACCCCTCCCCCTGGGACGGGCTCTTCCTCCCGAGTCGTTTTTTTTTCGACGGCCCCGAGGCCCTGCAGTGTCCCCGAGCGGCCGGAGATGACGCGAAGCCTCCCGGGGCGTGCTTTTGAGGACCCGAGGGGGCGGGGGCTTCGGGACCCCCCCCCCCCTCCCCGGGGGGCCCAGGGTGGGGGCGGCGGCTCGCCCTGGCCCCCGCTGGCTCGCCCCGCCCCGCTCTCCGCTCGCCCCCGGGGGGCCCTCCGCGCTCCTCGGGGCGTTTTGGAGCGCCACCAGGAGGAGCCTCCGTGGCTCGTGCCCCGAGGCGGCCACGCGCAGGGGGGGGGGGGAGGGGGCAGGCTAGAGGTGCGCTCGCGTCATGTCTGACGTCCCACCCCTCCCTCCCATCCCTCACCACGGCGTAGATCTCCTCCCTATGCGCACAGTCGGATGTCGAGCAGGGACATGATCCCGAGAGGGTGCGCGATGCATCGTAGAGCACGGCATAGCAGGGCGTAGAAGAGCACGGCAGAGCGTAGTATGTCACAGCATGGCGTGGCCGTGGCGTTGCGTAGTGAAGGATTGCATCACAAAGTGTGGCAATGCAAAAATTAGAACATGGCATAGCATTGCGTTGAAGATCAAAGCGTAGCATGGCATAGCATGGCGTGGCACTGCGTAGTCAAGCATTGCATATCCTAGCATTGCAGCTGAAGGCATGGCATCGCACAGCGGAACACCACAGCATTGCATTGCATTGCATGCCGTGGCAAAGCACTGGTAATGATGACGCCAGCGCTGCAGCGGGTGCACGATTCGGAACGAGGGGATGCGCGGAAATGAGGCCAGCGTTGCAGCGGGAGCACGATTCGGAACGAGCGGATGCGCGGAAGTGATGCCAGCGTTGCAGCGGGAGTACGACTCGGAACGAGTGGAAGCCCGAAAATGAGGCCAGCGCTCCAGCGGTAGCAACATCTCTAAACAAAAACCCAAGCGAAATCCGAGCTCCTGGGAATCCTGTGTGCAGAAAAAGAGTACGCGGAGGGGGACTGAACATCTTCCGGACGTCATCAGGGAAGAGAGGAGAGTAGTATTCATATCGTGTAAGTGTGGATGGGGAGAAGGCTTCTCACAGTCAACCTGCATAGGAAGGATGGGCAACTTGCATCCTAGCCTCTTCGGCCCATCCTTGGCCGCTGTCGCTGGCCGCGCCCCACTCGCAAAGTGTCGACGTGGCCTTCCAAGGCCCTTGCATCCTGATCGTGCATCCCTATGATACAGGCTGACTGCAGAAACACCCCTGCTCCTTAGCAGGCGCGGGCCTCATCAGTAGATGTATGGCCGGCGCTTTCTAAGAAGCAGCCTGCTTCTAAGAAGCCTTCACCCCTCCCCCTTACCCCCCTTGTGCGCGTCGCCAACCTGGGTCCCATACCACCTCGAGGCACAACAAAATCGCGTCGGGCGGCTTTTTCTATTGTTTTCCGCCCCTGGGGGCCCTCACCAGGCCTCGGGGCCGTCAGACAGCGACTCAGGAGGAGTGGCACAGAAGCGGCGGAGGCGACCACGACGACGACGACGACGACTACGACGACGACGACGACGAAGACGAAGACGACAGTGACGACAAAAAGGAGGGAGTGGCGGCGCGCAGGCGCCAAGCTGCGCAAGCACGCCGTGGTCAAGGTGCCCCGCAGCGTCTACGCCGCGATCCCGGGCAGGAGCGGGCCGCCCTGCGGCAGCGCCGAGGTGCTCGGGGGGGCAGTCCTTACCAGGCTCGGAGTTTCGAGGTTTGCAGTCGCTCTCGTGTGCTCTCAGCTGTTGTTTAGCCTCGGGATGCTTTCCAGCCTCGCCGAGGGCGTTCGGAGGTACGCTGTGCCCCTCAATATAGTTCTGGGGGTACCTGTAGTCCGGGGAGGGTGTACAGGGGTACCTGTAGTCCGGGGGGGACCAGTAGTTCAGGGTGGGGTACCTGTAGTCCTGGGGAAGGGTACCTGTAGTCCAGGGGGGGCGTACCTGCAGTCTGGGGGGACCGCGTGTTCACGCGTCAACGCACGCGTGGATGTAGTCCTGTGGGGGTACCTGTAGTCGGGGGGGGTACCTGTAGTCCGGGGGTGTACCTGCAGTGGTGGGGGGGTACCTGCAGTCCGGGAGAGGGGTATTTGTAGTTCGGGGAGGGGGTACCTGTAGTCCGGGGGGTACCTGTAGTCCGGGGACCCAGAATTATTGAGGGACGCAGAGTTCCGTGATCGTCCCGACCGGCCGCGGGAGAGCCGAGTTATGACCCAAAACCACCAGGCGCCCGAGCACCCAGCAAAGTATCGAAGCAGCGTCTACCCGACACGCAAGCGAGGTGTCGAACGAGTACCGCCTCCCAGGGCCCGACACGTGAAACCATTCCAGTTTCGGTACTATCTTGGCGCTCGAAATTCTTTCTGGTGGCCAAGGCTAGACGAGGTTGGGAAAATCATAACCCTCGGGGCCCGCCTGGGGCCGAGAGGCCCCGCTGCCTGCCCGTCTTCGGAGGCCCTCGGGGGCCTTCGGGGTGCTCTCGTGGCAGCCGCTCCCGGACCCCCTCGAGTGGTGACAAGATCACGGCCGAGGGTTTCTGTTTCCCCATACTCTCGGCCGTGGCCTTGCCGCTTCTGCCCTGCCCCCTTTCCTGGCGCCTGGAGCTCCAGGAGGAGATCCCAGCCTTGCGATCGGCACGATCGAAGGAAAGCGTTTGTTGTGTTTCTTGTTTCTTCCCGTGCGATAGCCTCAGACCCCCATCGGGTCATGAAAAAATCTCGACGGGTGGTTTCTCATAATTTTCGGTTTCCGTGGGCCCTTACTGGGCCTCGGGGCCATCAAAATACGACTCGGGATGAAAAGCTGGTCTCGGGGAATGGGTGGAGACCTCTTGGGGTCGACACTTCGAAAACAACAATAACATGACGTCGGGGGTCTTGGTTTGGAGACCTGCAGGGGCACGCTTCCTGTCCGAAGGCGTTCGGAGGACTTCGGATGACTTATCAGCTCTTGGGGCCGCTTCCAGTGACCGGCTTTTGGTTTTCGAATGTACTATTACCTAACAGCTTGTGCTGATAGGTTTCTAGTGGGATCAAAAGAGAGCATCTTGACGCCCCAGGGGGTCTGGGCGGGATCCGGACAAGGAACCAGACAAAAGTGCAGCCCCAGGAATCCTTAGGAATCCTTAATAAATTTTAGGAATTCTAATGAATCCATTCCAACAACACCATTCCAATGCCACATTTTGAATGCCCAGACCCAGCTGTAGGCCACTTTGTGTTTTTCGTGTTCCCAGAACACCATTCCCAGGCCACATTTTGATTGCCCGGAGCCAACTGTAGGCCATTTCGTGTTCTTCGTGTTCCCAGAACACCATTCCCAGGCCAGAATTTGAATGCCCGGAGCCAACTGTAGGCCATTTCGTGTTCTTCGTGTTCCCAGAACACAATTCCCAGGCCACATTTTGAATGCCCAGAGCCAACTGTACGCCACTTCGTGTTCTTCGTGTTCCCAGAACACCATTCCCAGGCCGCATTTTGAATGCCCGGAGCCAACCGTGGGCCACTTCGTGTTCTTCCTGTTCCCAGAACACCATTCCCAGGCCACATTTTGAATGCCCGGAGCCAACTGTAGGCCACTTCGTGTTCTTCGTGATCCCAGAGCACCATTCCCAGGCCACATTTTGAATGCCCAGGGCCAACTGTAGGCCACTTCGTGTTCTTCGTGTTCCCGGCACACCATTATTGTACCATATTTTGATTGCCCGGAGCCAATTGTGGGCCACTTTGTAATCTTCGTGCTCCCAGAACACTAGCCCTGTGACATATGTTGATGTCCGAGCTGAGGCAGGCTGAGCCCCGAGGCAGGCTGAGGCCGAGGCAGGCTGAGGCTGAGGCTGAGGCACGCCGAGGCAGGCTGAGGCTGAGGCTGAGGCAGGCTGAGGCTGAGGCTGACGCAGGCTGAGGCCGAGGCAGGCTGAAGTTGAGGCTGAGGCAGGCTGACGCTGAGGCAGGCTGAGACTGAGGCTGAGGCAGGCTGAGGCTGAGGCTGAGGCAGACTGAGGCTGAGAGGCTGACGCTGAGGCTGAGGCAGGCTGAGGCTGAGAGGCTGACGCTGAGGCTGAGGCAGGCTGATGCTGAGGCTGAGGCAAGCCGAGGCCGGCTTAGGCTGAGGCTGAAGCCGAGGCAGGCTCAGGCTGAGGCTGAGGCTGAGGCTGAGGCTGAGGCAAGCTGCGGCTGAGGCAGGCTGAGGCTGAGGCTGATGAGGCTGAGGCTGAGGCAGGCTGAGACTGAGGCTGAGGCAAGCTGAGGCTGAGACCGAGGCAGGCTGAGGCTGAGGCCGAGGCAAGCCGAGGCAGGCTGAGGCTGATGCTGAGGCAGGCTGAGGCTGAGACAGGCTGAGGCTGAGGCTGATGAGGCTGAGGCTGAGGCAGGCTGAGGCTGAGGCCGAGGCAGGCTCAGGAGGCTGAGGCAGGCTGAGGCTGAGGCAGGCTGAGACTGAGGCTGAGGCAGGCTGAGGCTGAGGCTGAGGCTGATGCAGGCTGAGGCTGAGAGGCTGACGCTGAGGCTGAGGCAGGCTGAGGCTGAGGCTGAGGCCGAGGCAGGCTGAGGCTGAGGCTGAGGCAAGCCGAGGCAGGCTGAGGCTGAGGCTGAGGCTGATGCTGAGGCAGGCTGAGGCTGAGGCTGAGGCAGTGGCTGAGGCTGAGGCAAGCTGCGGCTGAGGCAGGCTGACGCTGAGGCTGAGGCAGGCTGAGGCTGAGAGGCTGACGCTGAGGCTGAGGCCGAGGCAGGCTGAAGCTGAGGCTGAGGCAAGTCGAGGCAGGCTGAGGCTGAGGCTGAAGCTGAGGCAGGCTGAGGCTGAGGCTGAGGCTGTGGCTGTGGCTGATGCTGAGGCAAGCTGCGGCTGAGGCAGGCTGAGGCTGAGGCTGAGGCAGACTGAGGCTGAGAGGCTGACGCTGAGGCTGAGGCAGGCTGAGGCTGAGAGGCTGACGCCGAGGCTGAGGCAGGCTGATGCTGAGGCTGAGGCAAGCCGAGGCAGGCTGAGGCTGAGGCTGAAGCTGAGGCAGGCTGAGGCTGACGCTGAGGCTGAGGCTGAGGCAAGCTGCGGCTGAGGCAGGCTGAGGCTGAGGCTGATGAGGCTGAGGCTGAGGCAGGCTGAGGCCGAGGCTGAGGGCTGAGGCTGAGGCCGAGGCAGGCTGAGGCTGAGGCCGAGGCAAGCCGAGGCAGGCTGAGGCTGATGAGGCTGAGGCTGAGGCTGAGGCTGAGGCTGAGGCTGAGGCTGAGGCTGAGGCTGAGGCTGACGCTGAGGCAGGCTGAGCTGAGGCTGAGGCTGCCGCAGGCTGAGGCTGAGGCTGAGGCTGAGAGGCTGAGGCTGAGGCTGAGGCAGGCTGAGGCTGAGGCTGAGGCTGAGGCTGAGGCTGAGGCTGAGGCTGGCAGGCTGAGGCTGAGGCAGGCTGAGGCTGAGGCCGAGGCTGAAGGCAGACTGAGGCTGAGGCTGAGGCTGAGGCTGAGGCTGAGGCAGGCTGAGGCTGAGGCTGAGGCAGGCTGATGAGGCTGAGGCAGGCTGAGGCTGAGGCTGAGGCTGAGGCTGAGGCAGGCTGAGGCTGAGGCAGGCTGAGGCTGAGGCTGAGGCTGAGGCAGGCGAGACTGAGGCTGAGGCTGAGGCTGAGGCTGAGGCTGAGGCTGAGGCGCTGCTGAGGCTGAGGCAGGCTGAGGCTGACGCTGAGGCTGAGGCAGGCTGATGCTGAGGCTGAGGCAAGCCGAGGCAGGCTGAGGCTGAGGCTGAAGCTGAGGCAGGCTGAGGCGGAGGCTGTGGCTGAGGCTGAGGCAAGCTGCGGCTGAGGCAGGCTGAGGCTGAGGCTGAGGCAGGCTGAGGCTGAGGCTGAGGCAAGCCGAGGCAGGCTGAGGCTGAGGCTGAGGCTGATGCTGAGGCAGGCTGAGGCTGAGACAGGCTGAGGCTGAGGCTGAGGCAGGCTGAGGCTGAGGCAGGCTGAGGCTGAGAGGCCGAGGCAGGGGAATCCTTCGGAACCCTTAGGATTCCCTGGGAATCCTTAGGAATCCATGGGAATCCCTAGGAATCAGGATTCCTAAGGTTTCCTAAGGATTCCTATGGATTCCTAAGGATGCCTAAGGATGCCTTAGGAATCCCTAGGAATCCTTAGGATTCCATTGGATCCTAAGGCCGTTGCCACTGCGACTGTCATTGCGAATGCGACTGCGACTGCGAGAACAGCAGAATTCTTCAACTGGATTCTCACCTGAATCTTAAGGGGAATGCTTCCAGATATGCTTATACACATCGCTGTTAGGTTGCTTCGCCGCGATAATATGGATTCGGGTGTTTTAGTTGGTCGTCTGTGCACTTTCTTGGAGCCTTCGGAGTGCTTTGGTAGCGGTGGGCTCAGTAGGCGAATCCATCGGGAGGCCGATACCTTTTGTTTGGGGCCTGTGTATCGCGAATTCCTGCTACCCCCCCCCCCCTCCTTGCCCACAGAATCACTATAACGCCCGATTCTAAAATCCCTGGAAGCCTCCGATGACCCCCTTCACAACTGTTTTTGTTTTTTGGCCCTCACCAGCTTGTCTGCAAGGATCCTGAATATGCTTCTACTTCTTCTCCACACAGCGAACGAATAGGTGCGCCGCCAGATCTGGAATCGGCCGGCTGACGTTGGCCCCCATTGGCCATTGTTGAGGGCGAGTGGGAGGACATATTCGTTCCATGAGTCCAGACGTTGTCTCCGAGTGGCATCCTGTGCGGGACAATGGATGTAATAATCAGCATTAGTCAAATTATTGATGTGGGTAAGAGTGCTAGCATTCGTAATAGTAGTCCGTTCTAGTATCTGTAGTACTACTAGTAACACTTGTATTACGAGTTGTCATATCATCCATCGTAGTTGTACTAGTAGTAGTAGTAGTAGTAGTAGTAGTAGTAGTAGTAGTAGTAGTAGTAGTAGTAGTAGTAGTAGTAGTAGTAGTAGTAGTAGTAGTAGTAGTAGTAGTAGTAGTAGTAGTAGTAGTAGTAGTAGTAGTAGTAGTAGTAGTAGTAGTAGTAGTAGTAGTAGTAGTAGTAGTAGTAGTAGTAGTAGTAGTAGTAGTAGTAGTAGTAGTAGTAGTAGTAGTAGTAGTAGTAGTAGTAGTAGTAGTAGTAGTAGTAGTAGTAGTAGTTAGTAGTAGTAGTAGTAGTAGTAGTAGTAGTAGTAGTAGTAGTAGTAGTAGTAGTAGCAGCAGCAGCAGCAGCAGTAGTAGTAGTAGTAGTAGTAGTAGTAGTTGTAGTAGTTGTACTAGTAGTTGTAGTAGTAGTAGTAGTAGTAGTAGTAGTAGTAATCGTGAAAGTAGTCGTAGTAGTAGTAGTAGTAGTAGTAGTAGTAGTCGCAGTAGTCGTAGTAGTCGTAGTAGTAGTAGTAGTAGAAGAAGAAGTCGTAGTCGTAGTCGTAGTCGTAGTCGCAGTCGCAGTCGCAGTCGTAGTAGTAGTAGTAGCCATAATATCGTCAGAGCAGTGGCAGTAGAAGTAGCAATACTAGCAGTAGCTGTAGAGGTAGAGGTAGTAGTAGTAGTCGTCGTCGACGTCGTCGTATCACTAGTAGTAGTAGTAGTAGTAGTAGTAGTCGTCGTCGTCGTCGTCGTCGTCGTCGTCGCCGTCGTCGTCGTCGTAGTAGTAGTAGTGGTAGTAGTAGTAGTAGTAGTAGTAGTAGTCGTCGTAGTAGTCGTAGTCGTAGTAGTAGTAGTAGTAGTGTAGTAGTAGTAGTAGGAGTAGTAGTAGTAGTAGAAGTAGTAGCAGCAGCAGCAGCAGCAGTAGTAGTAGTAGTAGTAGTAGTGCTAGTAGTAGTAGTCGTAGTAGTAGTAGTAGTAGTAGTAGTAGTAGTAGTAGTAGTAGTACTAGTACTGGTAGTAGTAGTAGTAGTAGTAGCAGTAGCAGTAGTAGTAGTAGTAGTAGTATAGTAGTAGTAGTAGTAGTAGTAGTAGTAGTAGTAGTAGTAGTAAGTAGTAGTAGTAGTAGTAGTAATAGTAGTAGTAGTAGTAGTAGTGGTAGTAGTAGTAGTAGTAGTAGTAGTAGTAGTAGTAGTGTTAGTGTAGTAGTAGTAGTAGTAGTAGTAGTAGTAGTAGTAGCAGCAGCAGCAGCAGCAGCAGTAGTAGTAGTAGTAGTAGCAGCAGCAGTAGTAGTAGAGTCGTCCTCGGCGTAGTAGTAGTAGTAGTAGTAGTAGTAGTAGTAGTAGTAGTAGTTAGTAGTAGTAGTAGTAGTAGTAGTAGTAGTAGTAGTAGTAGTAGTAGTATAGTAGTAGTAGTAGTAGTTGTAGTAGTAGTAGTAGTAGTAGTAGTAGTAGTAGTAGTAGTAGTAGTAGTAGTAGTAGTAGTAGTAGTAGTAGTAATAGTAGGAGACGCCGCCGGGACCCCCCCCCCTACCCCGGCAGAGCCACCCGGCCACCGGACCCCCGCCCCTCTTCCCCCAAGTCCCCCTGTCCACAAGCGGACGGGGGACCGGCCCCCCCCCTCCCCCCCCCACGCCACCAGATACCCCCCCCCTTCCTTCCCCCTACCCCGGCACAGCCACCCTGGGCACCCCCTCCCCTCCCCTTTACACTCACACGCTGGATCGGCGGATTTTGCCCATGGCTTCGTGGTCCCCCATGTCACGATGACGAGGACAACGTCGATGCTGACGTTTCATTGCTTTGTCCGCCGAGTACCAAATAGGATACCGTTAAGCGCACGACTGTCAACCATCAGTTGATACAGATGATTACAGCACGGGCGCGCGCGGTGGTCAACCAGCTGTTGACACTGATGCACATATATGAAATCATTGCACACATAGCACGCGACACATAATGCTCATCCTTGAGTTGAAACTGATGCACATCTATTGAAGGATTTATCGAATTTCACGCTAAACGTAGATACCAACCGCCATCTGACGCAGAAATGAACGACAATCAAAGCACTGATTACCACTTCGGAGAAAGAGGGCGGCTTGAAGGGTTCATCACAGCCACCAACGTATGTGACCCACTTCCGCTTTGCCGAGTCATCTCGTCTATCATGTTGGTGGTTTCTCTTCTCCCGCTCCGCCATGTTTTTATAATTCCATTAGGGGTTTGGCTGGGGGGGGGGTATTTGCGGGGGGCTTGGAGCGGTCTGCAAGATTTCTTGCGTGGCCAGTGAAGGACGAAGGAGGGCTAGCAGTGGGAGCAAACGCGCAGGGGCCTGGCCCAAGAAGTGGAAGCATGTTGGGCCCGATGCGACTGGGAGCATCGCTGCTGTTTCGCAGGGATTGGGGCTACTTTAGCGAACAATGGAGTGCTCAACCTTCATGAGCACACTCAACACACACACACACACACACACATCAACCATTGCGTCCCATCAAGGGCACTGGGTTTGAGGCGGCCTTCTTACAAGGCAGGGGCCTTCTAGAAGTGATCGGAGTTGTGAAGGAGGGCACTCCAGAGGGCAGGCAGACGGGCATCGGCGAGGCCCGCGTGCCCTCTGCAGCCACCCGCCCACCCGTCCTCCGCCAATTTCCCTTGCGTGCACCACAAGCAGTGGGTGGGCACGCGGGCGGGGTGGCGGACTGCCCGATGGAACGTCTCTCTTTACCAGCCTCGAGGTCACCTTCTTATCCCAACGATCGACCAGCCCGAGGCCCTGGGCAATTTTGGGGATGCCCTTTTCGAAGACCGAAATAATCCTCAGGATCGACACTGGGCCAAGGTAATGCCAGTCACGCACGCACGGGTATCTCGTTGATGCTCCTCGGTCTCTCGGTCTCCTCCCTCCTCCTCGGAGTATTGGTATCATTTTGTTGGTCGCGCTGCCTGGTCCTAGCTGCGACTGCTTAGATTGCCATTGCATTGGTCCCAGCGCCGTTCTACGACTTGCAGTGCGCGTGCCTCGTTGTTCTCGTTGATCCGTGAAGCGCGCTAGTGTGATAGCCCTTCCCAAAGGGCAGCGGATTTCACGATTCTCCTAAGCATGCTCGCTGAAGAATGGGCGGGGGTATGTATGGCTTAGGTTGGAAATCTCACGTCCCAGACCCCCGACGTCTACATTTTTTCAGAAGGTCGACCCCCAGAGGTCTCGACCCATTCCCCAGGACGGGTTTTCACCCCGAGTCGTTTTTTAACGGCCCCGAGGCCCGTTGAGGGCCCTCAGAGATAGAGAAGACAGTCAACCCGCATAGGAAGTATCAGCGCTTTTCCAAGGTTGCCCTTGCATCCTTCCCCTTCGGCCCATCCTTGGCCGCTTTCGCCAGCCGCGCCCCGCCCGCAGAGCGTCGGCGTGGCCTTCCAAGGCCCTTGCATCCTCATCGGGCCTCCTTGCTATACGGGTTGACCGTGGCGAAAAACCCGAGGCCCAGGTTTGTTCATGACTCGAGGCGGTCTGGGGCCGTTGGCCCTCTCCCCGCGCGCGCCTCCTTCTCCAGCGCCCCCGGTCCGACGCCGGGCGCCGCGCCTCTGTTGCCGAGCGCCCGGACGCGCCCCTGGAGGAACAAGTACCGGCCTTCGCAGGAGACGCCCATCAAGAACTTCACGCTCTCAGGCACCGATCGGGGGGCGGACGGGCAGCGGAGCGGCAACAAACGCGGGGTTCGGTAGTTCAGCATGGGGCCTTGTATGTCCTAGGAGTTCCGCCTTTGGACTGCATTAGCGTGCGCTAGCGTCTGGTGTTCGATGAGAGGGAGCCGACTCAGCGTCGACTTGCGTCGATCTAGCGTCGGCTAGCGTCCAGTCGCAAGAGCTAACAAGACTGCATGGTAGGCTCCCACCAGCTGCCGCAGAAAACGTGGGGGAGATCGAGGACTGCAGGCAAAGGGGGGGCTTCAATGGGGGTCCCCAGAGCGGCTCCTGCGTTGCCACCGCTGGCCCGAAAGGAGCTGGCGGGGTGCACGACCCCTCGCCCCCCCGTATACTCGGGGGCGAAACACCTGTCCGTATCCGCGGCCTCACGGGCCCGGCCCTTGGGCCGCGAGGCCCCCAGATGCGGGGCGTGGCCTCGCGGGTGCGCCCCGCGGAGCCCATCCCTGCGACCGCCTGTCCGCAGGATCGCGCCTTGGAGTCCGGGCCGCGAGGGTGAGGATACGGACAGTCTCGCCGCTCGCGATCTTTTGCCCCCCCCCCCCCCCCAACGAAACCTTTCGCCCCGAGCGGGGCGCTCCGAGCGCGGGCCCCGCCGCCGGGGACGCGTTCCAGGGGGGGGGGGGGGGGGCTGTGGGGCCTCTCTCGCCTCCTCGGCGCAGGACCCCGCGGGGGGGGGAGCCAGCGGCGGCCTCGTGCGCGGGACGCTTTGGGCGGAAGTCCGCGTCGTCGTCGTCGTCGTCGGCTAGAGCGGGCCTCCGAGAAGGGCCCTCCCTTCGATACCAGGCCCTTTGGAGGGGAGCGGAGCGGATGTGGAAGGCACAGACCATCCGAGGCAGGCTTCGGCGTCGATCAGGTGCAGTCGAAACCGATGGCAAGGATGGGTGACCTTCCCAACTTTGGTCCATCCTTGACTACTTTCGATGGCCCGCCGCGCTCGAAGAAAAGATCCAGCACGAGCGTCCAATTGGTTTGCATCCTTACCGCGCATCCTTACGATCAGGTTTGACAGTAGACCAGCGCCGTGGTGCGAATAATGCACACGGCATGACTCATGACCATCATGGTTTGAAGGTCCGCGCCAGTTTCTCCTTGGCGGCGCCTTCGGCGCGGCCTCTGGCGCGCTCCGCGCGCAGAGAGAGGGGCGATCCTAGAAGTCTGCGTTCATCGCCGACAGCTTCTGTTGACGTCGCTTGCTGCTCCTACATGGGAAGCTGCGGGGGCAGGGAGGGCGGGGCAGAACTCACTGCATGCCTCTTCCACGCATGCTTCTGTCACAATTTGGCTCCGTTGGTTCCGTGCATACCGTGTCTTCTTGGTTCCTTGCTTTTCCCCCATTCCTGCTCCATGGCGGCACAAAGTTACATTGGGACTGGAACGCGGCGTTCCCACCTAGCGGACGGAAGGCGCTCGCGCGCGGTCCCGCTTCCGACGGTTCGGCGAGGGAAAAGCCGCGGGTCGCCCCGAGGCGGGAGCGCCATTTTCAGGCGAAGGATGCCTAGGCGAGAGTTGCATGTTTGTCCACTCGCACACGACCCCGCTGTCGACAAGTCGACGAGCGAGCAATGTGTGCCGCGCCCACGTGGCAGTTCAGTTCTCAGTTCAGTTCAATTCTCAGTTCTCAGTGTCCCACTCCTGCCAGGCATTTTGCAACGCTGACGACAAAACGTCCATGGCTCAACGAACAAACGTAGGTATGTTATTGATCTCTGTGGGTATGATGGAAGGTTCTGGTTCGTGGGGCCATCGGCCGTGTAGGTGAAGGAGTAGGAGTATACGTTAGCACGGAATAGCGATAGGGGAGTTGGAGGACGTGGATGAGAAAGACAAGGGGGAGCAGGAGGAGCATCAGCAGGAGGAGGGGGTCGATGAGGAAGAAGGGGGCGATGCAGATAAAGGAGTAGCGAGGAGGAGAGTTGAGGACGGGCAGCAGGAGGGGCCAGTACTAAGTGGGGCCACTGGTATGTTTAAGCTGTAGCCTAGCTCCTTGGCAAGGTCAATTGAGTTATCGGGCGCCTGCTCGCCTTGGTATGAGACGGCTTGCAGCCAGAACGTTGCTTGTGATTGAGGAAGGCCATGAGGAGGATAAGGGGCAGAAGCGCGCTGCAGGCGACTGGACCAGCCAGAAGTTCCTGGGCAGCATGGAGGGTGCCGTGCTGTCCGGGAAGCTGGCCGCCGAGGTGATTGCCTGCAAGGCGGCGGGGCAGCCGACGCAGGGTCGCCTCGGGGGCGGAGGGTCTGAAGCCACCTTCGAGCCACACGCCTGCGGGCAGATGTCGTTCAAGCTATGACCTCACGCCAGTGTCTCAGACATCTGACCTGCAGGGATAGATGTCAAACGCGGTCGTCTAGGGGAATCCGCTGTGCCGCTGGTTTTCCCCCTTGGACGGGTACGGCAGCAGGAGGGGGAGGGAAGATGGAGAGGGGGAGGACAGGCCTCACGGGCATCGCGCTCAACGACCGCACCACGCAAGAAACAGGAGGAGCAGGAGGACTCTTCCCGCCCACCTCCTCGGTCCTCGTCGTCCTCGTCCTCTTGCTCCCTCCTCCTCTTCGTCCTCATCTTCGGCCTCGTTCGCATCCTCGTCACCCCCCCCCTCCTCCTATGCCTCCTCCTCCCTCCTACGTCGCCCCCTCGTCTCCCCCTCCCCTCTCCTTTCTCCGTCCTGCCTCCTCTGCCCTGCATCTCGGGCCTCCTGCCTCCTCCGCATGTTGAGCCGACCGAGAGGTACCCAGCCTGCCCAGCCTGTCGATGCGTCGGGTCCGTCATTGGATTCTGAAGGCCAACGCCTGCTGGCATTGCATTCCGTCCGAGACGAGCAGGTCCCGAAAAGCTTGCTTTGTTCGGCGCGTTCGTGCTGCCGTCCTTCCGCAGAGACATGCCGGCTGCACGTCTAACAAACCAGCGCGTCCGGGTAGCAAGTTATTGCCATATACCGTGCTTGTGGTTGTGAAGGTGCACGTAGGGTTCGGTGGAGGCGTTTGGTAAGGATTAGTCCCAGGAGGCCCCAGACCCTGGAGGATTCCTTATCCAATGGGGGCTTCGATGATATCAATGGCCGGTCCACGATTGGCTTCCCACTGGCTACCCTGGATTCCTTATCGAAGGTTTCCTTATCCAATGCCCCCACCGTATCGTGAGATCAATTCGGTGAGTTCGTCGTGACCAAATGAGTGGTCACGCAGGGAGCGGTTCATCGTTGTCTCGCTGTCTAAACCCAGGCCCGTACCAACGTGTTGCCCCTGGCAAAAACCACGGCCGTGAATAGGGGGAATGCGTCAGTCTTGCGAGTCGTCCGTCGAAAGATCTCGATGCGTTTCCCGAGATGAGTAGGCCCAGCTTTATGATACAATATTGCTCTCTGACGTCTCCGCGATTGTGATGGAGGCGGCACGTTGAGTATCACTCCAGACGTTCGCGGTTGCATGAAACACGGCCTGGGTATATTCATCTTGGGCTGTCGAGGTTGGAACCCCAACGTGGCCGTAGGGGGGAGGCAGAGGTTTGAATGGAACATTATCCACTGGGCCCCCCCCCCCTCACACACGCCGACAGGATCTGCGGATGTACGTCCTGCGTCTCTTAGGTCTTGCGTGTCCATACAATGGGCCTTGCGATGACCTTTCGCAGTGGCTATCCCTTCGCGGTGTGCGGAATTGCTTGCGTGTCTCGATCTGCAAAGAGGAAGAGCTTGTATGCGCGTATTGTGCATCTGGGGATTGCAGGGGCCGTGTGTGGTGCAGGCTGGGCCGTTCAAGGATTCAGGGGTTGTTCGAAGCACTTCCACGATGTGAGTTTCCTCGTGCATGGCGAAGGTGTGTGTGTGTGTGTGTGTGTTGCAGACCTCGTTCGTGCGGTCGCCGCTCTGGCTGTCGGCGTCATGGGTAACCTATGTTGATCGCCGCCGATCGATTGCACGATGAGCCATTGCGGGGGCTGGAGGTCTGAAAGAGATCGAGCCCCACATTCTCAGCCAGAGCTTCGAGCCGCGGGAGAGACAGCTGCATTTTTCTCGGGAAAGGGGTGGGTAGGAGAAGGAAGTGGTGTTGTTAATGTTGTAGCTAGAACTTCTGTTGATGTTGGTAGTGGCGGTGTGGATGAGCGGTTGCAGCTGTTACTGTTGCACGTTCTTGGATGTTGTCTTTTTGGTAGTTGTCTCGCCATCCGGTTTAAAGCATCATTCAACCTACAAGCTGTAGTACACTGAATTGAGATGGAGCGCATCGATGCAGCTGACCAGGTTCGCCTGGTAGAGGCTGGATTTGGAGGATGCCACGCCATGCGGTGGCTTTAACTTTCGTTGATTGTTTGTTGACTTGGGGTCGATGGCAGAGGCCCCAAGATGCGCGTGTTTCATTATCCTTGATAGTTGTGCCCCCGTCCAAAGGGCTAGTCGGTCGATGAGCCGATATTTACCAAGAGTGTCTGAACCAGTCTGACTGTTACGCGCATTGCGCTGTCTTGGTGTTCACCAGAACTTGCCCATGGTCCAGGCTGCGAATCCGTGTCAGGACCCCAAGGTCATCAAAGGCAACGACGCGATCAATTTTGGCGGGGGACAAGTGCTTGGCAACAAGTTCAAGGCAAAGTTGGAAGAGCAGGAGCGTTGGGTAGGGCCTCCTCCATGGCCATCGCGCCGCGGCAACCGAACGGGACGAGGCAGCGAGGGAGATATCAGATGGGGAATCGGGGAGAGCAGAGAGGCAAGGAACGGCACCGACGCGTGGACACCACGTGCGGAGCTAGTGTCGGAAACTACTGTCGGGGGCGCAGGTGGTTCGATGTTTGTAACAGGCCGAGGGGGCGCGAACGGTCCTTGTGTTTTAATATCATAGGTTCAGAAAAAGTTTAAGGCCAATGTCTTTAAAAAGTTCAAGTTCAACGTTACTGGACTCCTGAAGTCGGGAAAGAGCTCGGAAACAGTTCGGCGGCAAGAAACAAATTCGGACGACAGTTCGGCGGCGAGAAACAAGTTCGGAAACAGTTCAGATAGCGCTCGGCGGCGAGGAAAAGTTCGAACACGAGTTCGAACAGTTCAACACATCACAAGTTCAAATAATCAAAACAAGGTCAACAACGTTCAAACAATAAGTTATAGCATCTCGAACATGTTAAAAACAAGTTCAATAGTTTCCGACAAGTTTGGGTGCTGTTTGGAGAAAGTGTCGTTGTGCCAGGGGGCCGTCTTGAGCTTGTTTCGAACTTTGGGTTCTTGGGGGGTTCGAACTCGAACGTTTGATTGTCCCTTTGCCCGAACCCAAACCCGAACTTTAAAAATTTCGCAGGAAAGGCCATCTTCCCCCATCAGCCGGTTACAATTCGAGGGTCGATGGGCCAGCAAGGATGGTGTAACCGACGTTGGTGGCACACAGGGATGTAGTGGGCAGTGGGCTGATCGGGGCCATTGGGGCGACAATCAGAACCCGATGCCAGAAGCACGCAGGGCTCGTGGAGGCCCCGGGAGACAGTCTCGAGCCCAGGCGTTGATGGCACAGCGAGCTGTAGGAGCTCAGGCAGCACAGCTGGTTCACGGTCGGCCAGGTCAGTAGGGGAGGCTATTTTCGAGGACTACGTTCGGCGGCCTGAGGACGAGGCGCAAGGGGGGGGGCCAGTGTGGGCAAGGTAGTGCGAGAGTGTCGGGAAATGACGTTGGAAGCAAAGGCGGTGTCTATCGTGGCTCGACGAGCACGGCGCCTCACCTATGCGGCCAGGGCGTCCTGATTGTCCGAGCGATTGTGCCCCCCAAGCCGCCCCGTCCCAAGTTCATCGTTCATCGGGCATCGAACCTCGCCCAGAAATCAGCGCAAGCCATGCCCGCCTGCCGCCTTGAATCTTGTCGACTCGGTTCTGAGCCTCTCGGGGTCGTCAGTGAGGTGGCTCTGGGACCTCTTTGGTTTCATCTGACCCTCTTGCTCGGCATCCAGTGCGATTTCAGCCCCGTAAGTCCTCGTTCGCCGCCGCCGAGCACTGAACAAGCCGCTCGCGTTACCATCCTCGAGGCAACCATGTGCGTCCGCACCGGCTTCGTGCCTCCGCGGACCACTGCAAAAGGCGCTGCCCAAGCCACCAGCGAAGAGGTAACATCGTGGGCGTCGTGAGCCCCTCACGTCTCACGCTCCTCCTCCATCGAGCCTGCCGTCTGGACGATGCAGTCGGCCTTGCCCTCGTCGAATCAGGGGTGGGTCAAGTGGGTGGGCAGGACGCTGCGCAACTGGTCCCCGCGTGAGGCGACGGCGCGAGACGGCACTGCTCCTTCAATCAGCTCTCTCTTGTCCCCGCGCCCGTCGCTCCGTTTTGGCGTTTCTCATCCGGGGTCCCCCGAAGCCCCCACCCTCTAGGCCTCACAAATGGTGTCCGAGCAGATGGGGTCGGATGCTTGCGCAGCAATCACAGATGCATCGGCGATTCGGCTCGATGTGGAGCCAGAGTTTCTCCGCGCTGGCGTCGCCGATGCATCGCCGACGTCGCCGATGCATCGGGGATGAATCGGTGATGCGGCGCTGTCCGCTGACCCGATCTTCTCGGACCCCATCCAGGACCTTCCCCCAAGGCAGCGTCTCCACGCTGAGCTGCCATTGACGGTCCCAGGGCAGGCGGTGAGAAGTTTGTGCCCTGGCGATGGTCAAGAGCCAAGACGTGCGAGGTATGGGCCTTCTTCGCCCGCACCAGACTCGGCTTGGCATATGGGTCGTTCCAGGCATGGCCTCGTCTTCGAGGATCGAAGGAGTTGGCGTCTCTTCCTCGGCGGCAGCTCGGCGGAAGGCGGCGGTGGTTAATCGGGGGTGGTTCCGCTGGCGGAAACCGGCAGAAGGCTTGCGGAAGGCGGCGGAAGTGAAAGATGTGCCCCTAAGAGATGACAGCATTTTTCGACTCAGGGTTCCAGAACCCGACATGTACTTCAGGACGGTCAGGGGCCGGTCGAACATACCGGGCCGTGGTGCGATGCACTATATCTCTCTTCTCAGTCGTCACGGCGGGAGCGTTGGATAAGGACGCGGGTGCGAACACGGGGTCGAACCTGAAGGGGTTCCACCTTTCGTCCCCTTAGCAGAGTTAGGTATTCCCAGGACTCCGAATTTCCTTATCACTAATTCCTGAAGTGGCGTTGAGATGACGCCCAGCTCGCTTTTCTCACAGTGGTGCATGCCTTCAGTGGTGCAGGTTCAGGCTCAGAAGCGGTTTCTTATCCAACGCGGCCACCGTCTAGCTCCTCGTTTCCAGGCGAGCTATGTTTAGTGGTTTCACTGCTGAGTTTTTCAACCTGCTCTTCTCTGGTTGAGCCAACAGGGGTTCCAGCGAAAAGAGGGTGGTGCAATAGATCTGGTGCAATCTACTTGTTGGGTTGCAATCGACTTGGGGCGTGCAATACTTTCCTGTGCGCAAATGTATTGCTGGATTTTCGAGTGGCTTTTGATCAGTACAATGCAATGCAATTCTCCGGCGCAGTACATGTGCAATACAATTGCCCGAAATCCATTGCACCACACCCGTTTAGTTGGACCCCCTTTTGGGTCAACCAGATCCTCTGCAAAGGCGCCGAGCTGTGTCTCGAGCCTCAGTTTTCTTCGGCCAAGCAGTGCAGTTGGACAGTCTCTTCAGGACCATCTCGTCGCGATCAGGGGAGCCACACATTCCATGGGTGAGTTCTGCGTTTGATTTGCTGCACTGACGCCTCAGGGGTCGAGATCGCTTGTTCGGGGGGTCCCAGCTGCTCGTCGGTTCCGATGTTCAATGTCTCGGGCCCCCCATCCGTAAATCTCCTGCAGACTTTCAAGGCGAATGCGCGCGGCGCTAAGGCGAGAGCCACGTTTTGGGAACCGCCCTCTATCCGTGAATCTCTTGCACACTTTCAAGACGAATGGGCGCGGCGCTGGGGTGAGAGCCACATTTTGAAAATAACTCGCCCGCACCCATGAATGTGTTGCATTATTGTCAGGATGAATGTACGCGGCGGTGAGACGACGAGAGCCACATGTTTGAAAACCACCCGCCCTCCATCCGTTGAATTGCTGCAGCATTTGAGCATAAGGATCATCAGTTGTGAGGAAGTCGCAGGCGAAACGCTTGGCCCGCCCTACGGACACGCGTCGGGGTGCGACAGGGAGGGGTCATTTACAAGGGGGGGTATGGAGCAGGATGAGGATGAGGAATCTTAGTAGGAAGAAGAGAAGGAGGAGGACGATGAGGAGGAGGAGGAGGAGAAGACGCAGGAGGGGAGTGGGGATACGGAGGAGAGAGGATGTTATGCTGGTTGTGGAAAGGCTGTGAGTTGACGGGTGGAGTAGGACGACGAGAGTAGGAGGAGGAGGAGGAGTAGGAGGAAGAGGAGGAGTTGGAGGAGGAGGAGCAGGAGGAGATGGACGAGGAGATTTAGCGGGATGATGAGGAGGATGAGAAGGATATAGAGGTCTTGAGGGGACAAGGACGTTTAGAATTCAATGAGACCACGCTCGAGATAGCAGAGAACACACGGGCTATGTGGGAGCTCCTGGGAAGGGGGGAGTGGGAGGACGAGCGAGAAGACGCGTCCTTTGTTCTTCTTGCCACTGTTCATCTACCATGGTTTCAAGTTCGAGTTGGTTTCGTGTGCTCATTCTTGTTGTGGGGCCGGTTGACGAGACGCGAGCGCGGGCAGAGCTCGAGACGAGCGAGTCCGGGAGTAGAGGGGCATCGTCACGGCAGACACGGGTATCCTTGCCGCTGCCACGTGCATCCACGGCGAGCGCCAGGCCACCGCCCTCTGTCGGCAGTGCGAAAGTTGCCTGCCCGCGCGCGGCACTTCCAACTTGCATGCGGCCCTGGGGCCCCTCCTCAGCGCGGTCAGCGCCTGCAGCTCGGAGGGCCCCCGCGCGTGTTCGCGGGCAGTCGGCGGCGCGGTTCCTGCCTGCCCGAAAAGAATGTCCGAGGCGCGCCCGCGTCCTCGTCCACCTTCCGAGGCGAGGATTGATAAGTGTCCAGGGCTTGGGACACCGATCTTCCATAACTTTCGGAGCCTGTGGACATGATGAATTCGGCCCCCCCTGGTGCTTAGGCATATCTGCGTCTACTGCCTCTTGGGTTCCTGAAAATTTGCATCACTGGGAGGTGGATGTGTCTCAATCCGATCATTGCATTCCTGGTCCTCCTGCGAGTCGAGCACACTCGAGCCGGGGGTGGGGGTTCTCTTCCTTCTCGGCATTGAGGGTCCCGTTTGAGGCTCCAGGTGCCGCCAAGCTTGTGCCCAGGAGGAAAAGTTGGCCAGGGTGGACCTGGAGATTGGTTTCAGCATCGTTTAACCGACCCCTATCCCGATCCTCATCCATATCCAGACCCCCACCAGCTCAGCATCCCAGTTGGGGATATCCTCCTCGAAGCCCGAATGAAACGGCCTACATCCCCATGTAGGGAGGTAAATGTGCCAGTGGGGCCCAGGCCACGCCCATGGGGATAGGGGTCGTTTAAACGATGCTCATGGTTTTGACCATATTCGGATCGGGACCCAGGCGCGTCAGGAACTAAACTTGAGCGTCCATCTCATCCCGCCGAAAAGAGGGGTGCTTCCACTCCGCCTGCTCATCCTCCTGCTGCTCGTGCTGGTCTTCCTAACGCAGCGCTCGCCACCTGTGGTCGGGGTGGTCCGGTCGGGGAGCGGCAGTCCGTTCGGGCGCATCCGCCGTCTCCCGTCGCCCTTCCCTGACCGATGGGCTCGTTGAGTTGTGCCGCCTCGCTTGAGGCGCAGCTCGAGTGTTGCCAGAGGTGGCGCTGGCCCAGGGCGACCCGGATGGCTTCCAGTGCTTCCAGGTTGCCTGCAGAGCACCCCACACTGGGCGCAGAGGGCCCCAGATGCTCCAACATGTAGCGAGAAGTTGAGGGGGGGGGGCCAGGTGTCAATTTCACATCTGACAACCTGTGAGAATCGCCGGATTGCCGTGGGCCGTCCCGTGCGTCGGGCATCTTCACCTCTCCCCCCGAAAAATGTGTTCCACGGGGACGGCTTCGGATTCGCCAGGGGGAGCAATGAGACGAAACTGCTGTTGTTTCGATCGACGGGGCTCAGTGCGATTGCGACGGCGGTGAGCAGCAGGACCGCAACTTGCTCGAGATATTTGTGGAGTGGGCAGCTGGACGGCATGGTGCCACTGTCCACCATGTGTGCGTGGCAACAAGTGCCGATCATGCTCCGCTCTGGCTGTGCGAACGCGCTCCCGTTGCTGCTGCACGACTGGCCGCGAGGAGGCATAGTAGCTATCGGCGGGGCTGGAGCTGGGCTGGCTACGGTCTCCGCCTGATGCGGAGGCGGTGCAGGCGGGGCCTTTGCACCACCTTCTCTTTGCGCTTCCCGGTGTGGAATTTTGAACGAGATCCCCTGCGTGGACGTGGGCGCCTAAAGTGTGCAGCTGGAGGTGGCTGCCAATGGCCTGTCGCGTTGTGTGCGTCGCCCCCAAAAGGACGACGCGCGCGCTCAGAAATCATATACATCGCCGTGACAAGGGTGTTATGTGGTCTGCGTGCAAGATGACTCCCGACTGGCGGAGTGGGCGGAGTAGAAAGTACTCCGCGCGGACATGCGTCCCGCCCCATCGTTCATGACATAATGGGCGCAGTAGTTCCTGATCCTGTTTTGAGACGACAGCGTTCCCGCGGAGTAATAGTGGGCCCACATTACTCCGCGGGAGCGCAGGGGCAATCTTCCCATGTTCGACATGTTCTGTTGGTAAGGATGTCCCAACCTCGTGCCAAGCCGCATGAACTTTCGCCACGGCAGGGTAGCATCTGCTCGGTGGCGGGCGCGTTTTGGCCATGCCGCTGGGGCAACGACCTGCTATGCACCTGTTGTGCTGCATGCTTTGGTCGGACGCACGTCTCCAAGGGGGACACACCGGCTGAACCGGTACGTCCCTCTGCGTCCCATTGGTCAGGAGGGGAAGAAACACACAGACACAATTAATCCTCGATTCCCCAGAAAATATGGGAAAATATGGGCAGTGGGGGGGAAGACAAAAACCCAGAAAATATGGGAAAATATGGGGACTATTTTTATTTGTGTGTATTTATTTGTGTGTCCTAATTTCCCTTTAATTGGGACCGAGGCCTCTCCCGAGCCCCTGGGTCCCGAGCCTCCGCCTCGCGGAGTGGCCGGCGGGGCTCCGCCTCCAGGCCAGGACAAGAGTGCGGCGCCGCTGCTCCGGGCACCGTTCTCGGGCGAGGCTCCTGCCCACCCAGCGTGCACAGAGCCCACCTCCAGGACGGCCAAGCTGGCCCAAGATGGCTTCCAGACAGGCCCGAGGTGGAGCAAGGTGGTCCAGGATGGTTTCTCTGGGGCCTTCCTACGGTCATCTCGCAGCATTGTGGTACCGTCTTGCGCCAGTCGGTTTGGGCTTCTCGGGCCGCGCGTTGCGGCCGGTGGCCGAAGAGATCGATGCCCAGCAATTGCAACCCGCCCCAGACGACATCGAGTGGTGCATCCAGCCTGCCAAACTGGGATGTACCAGTCCGCGCTGAATCTAGATCCTCGTCCATCGCCCACATCCCTGAGTTCCTCCCTTCTCCATCACTGTATTCCTCCGCCTTCCCCCATTCCTGCGTCCCTTCCATCCTCTTCCTCTTCCCCTTCTTTCCTCCTACGTGCTCCTCCTTTCTCCATCCTTCTTTCTCCCTCCTCACTCCGTCCTCCCTCTGATCTCCCTCAGTTCTCCCTCCCTCCCTCTTTCCTGTCTATCACCCGTCGTCTTCCCCCTCTTCCGAAGAGCAGACAGCGACATGAGCATGACATTTTTGGGGAGTTCCGCTTGGCTTTCTTGGGCCAGCGCTCTACCCTCCCATGGCGGCGCCTCCAGCGCTGGCCCTGGCGCGCAGAGCGCGCAAGAGGAGGCGGTGTCCCGCGCTGACGCAAGAAATCCGCTCGGGCTTCCGAAGGCTTATGCTTGGGGCAGTCCCTGCTATCTCTTGTTCGCAGGCGAGTTCTTGCCCTTACCCCTCGACTTTTCCAAGAGTCATCGAGCTGCTCAGAAAAGGTGAGCACCCCGAGGGGGCTATGCGGACACGCCCCTATCGAGGATGTACGCCCCCCATCATATATCCCCGAGTTGGGCTCTTGACTGTTGGTCCATCCGAACACCTCGCGAAGTCGGGGATGTGGTTCGACACGCTCCCTGACCGTTCCCTCCCCTGCCTTCCGTCCGCGTGCCTCTGCCCGAGCGGTTTGACGGCGACGAATACTGGAGCCTGCCCCATGGTGCCTCCCGCAGTGTCTCCTGCTCCGACGGCGCTCCGGCCGTCCCCGCAGCTTCTCGTGCACGAACTTCGCGCCTCCGACGCGCCCCGACGATCGACGACCGCCTGCCGGATCCCGCCCGCCACGGCAGCTTTTCGGGGCTGCCCGCGGCACAACCCGAAGTGCTTCGAGCTCTACGGGCGCTCCGGCCGTCTCGTGGCTTCGTTCCCTTTTGATCTCGCCTGCGCGTTGCTGTGTGCGAGCTCCGCTTCCGACGCTTCCCGCCGTTCGCCGACCATCTGCTGGTGCGAGTGATCCCCATACTTGTTCTACTCTTTACTGTGCCGCTGCCCCTTTTTGCTCACAGGTATTGACAAGCGCAAATGCTATCGTCCTTCATTCAGTGCTACCGGCTTTTACCCGCGGATACTCGGGAGGGGATTTGCCCTTCGGTCAACCCCTCCCCCACACAGCTGGATCCAGCCCGCCACGATAACTTTCCGAGGCTTCCTTCTGTACAGCCCGAAGTGTGTTTCAAGCTCCGCGGGCGCTCTGGCCGTCTCACCCGCCCCGTCCCTCCCGGCCTCCTCCTTGGTCCTTGCTGCTTTGTGCATGCCCAGCTCGTACCGCAGCAGCCCTTCGGCAGCCACGGCCGCAACTGGGATCCACTTGGCATCGACCGGACGTGTGCAGTTTTCTCGGCGAGGCCAGCGCCTGAGCATCCGAGCCCTCTCGGCGCATCTGGGATCTTTGGGATGTTTCTGCGAAGCAACAACAACCAACACCAACAACGTCAACCACAACAACAACAACGACAACAACGACAACCATAACAGCACCACCATCAACAGCAGCAACAACAACACACAACAACAACAACAACAACAACAACAACAACAATTACTAGCACGTGGGGACACTCCGTTCTCACCAGTGCCAGGGTTTTCATACGACGCCCGCCAATACCCCCACTTTGTGGGGGGGCCGGTTCAAGCTCTACCACATTTCCAAACGACTCTTCGCCACCACCCACACCCAGCTTCCCGCCCTATGACGTTCGGACACTTCACTTCGTGGCCTGCGGACGACCGTGGCTACTACACTGGCGCATGGGTACAGTGACTTGTTGTGGTAACATTTTCTGGACGCTACGAGGACCTTCGGTGCGATTCGTATGATTTTATGTTGCGCGGTGCTAAAATTCCTAAGAAACCCAATGGTTTTTGAAGATTTCGGCGTGCGCGCGCGAAGAAAAAACGAATGTGTCCCGCATGGTATTATTTGACAGGGATGATGGCCCTGGCAGGTGCGCAACCGTTGTTGGAGAAGTTCGCAAAAAAGTTGCTCGCAAAAGCCCGTTTGACAGAAATGTTTAAAAAGTGTTGGGTTTCCTACAAATCCGCAAGAGCGCGCGGGATGAAATTTTGACACTTTTTTTTTTTTTTTGAAAAAACCATTGGTTTTTTGATGTTTTTATGTTAAAATCGTTACGAACACTAAGGTTTTGGAAGGATTTCGTCTTGCGCGCGCGAATGTCCACTTTACCTTATTTTTTGCAAGGGATTCTTGAAGTTTGGTTATGTTAGAACAAGAAATGTCAACTTTGCCTTATTTTTTGCAAGGGAAAACCGCCCGTAACAAAACAACCGGATCCGGACCAACCCGTTTTGCCAGAGACTTCTTCACGAAAATGATGAAAACA